GGGGACACTCCTGGCAGTGCTCAGGGACTACTCCCCCCGGGCTCAGAACTCCCCGAGCATGTGGGGGGGGCATCAAACCAACCCAGGTCTCCCGCATGCAGAGCCTGAGCTGAGCTTTTTAGCTTGCTCCTAGGAGTCTGCATGAGCACTATGATGAGCCATGAGCACTGTAGAGCAAGCCACGAGCACTCTGCAGTGATCCCGAGCACTGTGTGCTGATTCAGGGTCTGAAGGGCAGGTGGCTGAGGCTCCCTGGGCTCCGGAGGACCCTGCCTGTGGGACCAGACTCAGGAAGCGGCCTTATTTTTCCTTCTGAGAGATGAATCCCTTGTCCCGGGCCCCCAGAGAGTAGCTGGGGCTGGTTCCCGCCGGGCCCAGTTCAGGCGGGTCATTGTGTCTCTGGTTCTTGGCTGAGCTCTTGCAGAGTCACCTTCCGCTCCCGCAGAAATGGAGGGTCTGGGGGCTGCAGAAAGGGCTCCCGGGAAGGCGGCAGCAGAGACGGATGGGCACGCGGCCGCAGATTTGCCGCGCGCCCTCCCCGCGCACGGCCACTGGCCCGCCAGGCTCCCTGGTCACCTGCGCCCGCTCCGCCCGCGGGCCCTGCTCTTCGGGTATTTACGGCGCCGCTGCCGGCTCCGCGCGAGCCGGCACTTCCAGCTTCAGTTTCGGGGTCTCCGGGCGCCCTGGCCAGCGGGCACCGCGCTCAGACACGGGGATCTGGGTCCCGGCGGAGCAGGATGGGCTGCGCACGCAGCCGGCCGAGCTGCTGCAGACCCCCCAGAAAGGTAGGGGCGCCCGCGAGAAGTTTGTGAAGCCGGGAGGGGCGGCTCCTCCCGCGCCTCTGCCCCGCGCCTCTGCCCCTGCCCGCCTCGCCCCTGTCCCCTCTCGCGCCTGGGGTTGGGCTGGGCTGTGTGGCCCCACCGCTGACTTGGCCTCTCTGGGCCTGAGGACATCTCACTGGCGGGACCGCTGGGGCGACTCAGGTGGGCACAGCACCCCTGGGAAATTCACACCCCCGGGCCTCCCCACCAGAGCCCCCTCCCAGGAGCTGTCTACACTGCAGAGGTAGTGCGGGTGTAGACCTTCTGCAGGCCATGTCTGCAGTGTGGGGGTGCCAGGGAGGGACAGACGCTGCTTCCCCCCACCCCAGGTCAGACCCCAGGACACAACTTGGGTTTCCTGTGATCCGGTGGGGCCCTAACCTGGCACCTCCCCGCTGCCGCTGCCTCAGAGCCAGTGCCCCAGACCCCAGGATCAGCAGCCACCCCGCCCCCCTCGCTGCCCCCTGCAGACCCAGGGTCAGAGAGATGGTGCAGTGAGCAGGGCGCTGGGACCATCCACAGCGCTGCACAGGGGCCCCTGAGCCCTGCCAGGAGTGACCCCTGAGAGCAGCCTGGTGCGCCCACCCCGGCCACCCAGCTCTGACCAGGAACTCCAGTGGCGAACCAGCAGGCTCACCCCGAGAAGCTCCCAGGCAAGGATGGTGGCTGCCCGGGGCTGGGAGTCCTGGCTCTGACGCTCCCAGCCCCTGGGCCTCAGTTTCCCTCCTGGCCTGGGGCAGGAAAGGAACCTGAGATGCTGTGAGCCCTTTTGCCAGTCTCTTGGGGGGTCCTGGGGCCTTGGGGGTCTGCCTCCTGGCCCCTCTGAGCGTTTTTACAGCTGACCCCAGCCCACAGTGAGTGGGCAGCGTCGTGTGGACAGTGGGGGCCAGGCAGGGCCCAGAGGAGGGCAGTGCGGGCCAGTGAGCCCCTGACCCATCTCCTTAGCCCACGCAGCTCTGGCCCCTGGCTTGCTGCTCGGCTCCCCTTGGCCCTGCTCTGATGGCAGGACCCTGCCATCTGCTGAACGCCTGCCTGACCCCCTGCCCCTTCTCCTAGCCAGCTGCTTACTCCAGGGGTCCTGAGCACCCCCAGGGGCTTGGCCCTGAGCTGGGCTCCGAGGACCAGGCCACAGCTAGTGGCCAGGGGACACCACGTGGAGCTGAGCCGTGGCAAAGTCCCGTTAGGGCGGAGCCAGGCAGTGGGGGCGGAGCCGGAGGATGGGGCGGAGCCAGACTCAAGGGAGGAGCCAGGTGGTGAGGGCAGAGCCTGACTGGGCGGAGCCAGACTGCGGGGGTGGAGCCACGCTGGGGGGCGGAGCTGGGTGCAGAATCAGGAGCCATGGGCCCCCTGGCCCAGCTCTGGCCAGGTTCCTTCTCCAGGCTTGCATGGGAGGTGGGGGGTGGGTGGGTGTGATGGGCAATGTGGGATGAGACAGGTGTGGAGGACCCTGGTTGAGACAGGCTCTAACACAGGACCTGTCCCTGAGGGGCTGGGCGTCCAGCAGTGTGTGTGGGGGTGGTCATTGGGGCTCTGGGGCGCAGGCAGGGCTCCCGGCAACGGAGCGAGCAGACCCTCTACCTTTTGGGGAGTGGGGAGAAGCTGTCCTGGGAGAGCTGCTGTGGGCTGCTGAGGGAAGGGCAAGAGGCCAGTGCCCAGCGCAGCAGCAATGCCACGGATGTACTGGTCACGCCACTGGGTGTTCTGGAACAGGTAGGGCAGCTTGACGCTTCAACCCCCTCGGGACAGAGCTGAGGTGTGGCAGGACCCGGGTCAGCGTCGTGGCCCAGATCCCTCAGGTGGAGGACGGGAGGAGAGGGGAAGGGCTGCCCGCTCCCTAGATCCAGAAGCAGAACTAGGGCCTCGCGCACCACAAACCCGGGCTCAGGCAGAGGCCACGGGCGGAGAGGCTCGAAGCTCATGTTTGCTGCGACACTGCCCACTGGCCACTGGGGCAGGGAGCTCTCAGTGATGACCCAGCCCCTCGCCTACACATGGCCTGGGCTCTCTCATCTGCCTCCCCAGCTCCCTGGAAGCAGGGTGCGTCTTGCCCCTTGACTGGGGCATTGGATACCAGGCCCCCAGAGAGACTGGGGGTCGTTTGGCCAGGTGGTGAAGGCTGGGACACGCAGGAAGGGCCCAGTGAGCTGCTGCCCACGAGGCCCCCCTTGCTGGCTGGGCCCAGGCTGGGCTCAAGAAAAGGGGGGGGCAGGACCTCAGGACCCCACAGTCGGGCCTGGGCTAGGGGCGCCCTGGGCCAGGACAGGCAGCTCTGGGGTCCCTCTGTTCCAGGGTTCACCCTCGGGCTCCGAGGGCTGCCGAGGGCTGGAAGCAGGTGCCTAGAGATGCAGGGCCCTGGGGAGCGCTGTGGAACCACATCCGCCTGCCCCGTGCTGGGGCACAGGTGCTGGAGAGAGGGTGTGGCTGGGGGTCAGGGCACCCACCCCCGGGGGTCCTGCTCAGCCCTCCCTGCCCCAAGAAGCCCCGAGCTGGGCTGGCCTTTCCTCCCGGCAGGGCTCCACCCACCCACCTCCTTCCTGCCCCCCTGCCGCCGTCCCACTCAGAGTCCAGACACAGCGGAAATGATGCTGATAGGCCCATGGGCGGTGGGGGGGCCTCATGGGGACACCTAGCCCCGCCAGCACCCCCTGCAGCTGCAGGAAGGAAGGGGAGGAGCCAGCTCCAGCCACCTGCACGCAGACCCTCCTTCCCGCTCGCCTCAGTTTCCCCTCCTGGGAACAGGAAGTGGGACTTGAACGCGATGAACCGCCTTTGGCCCAGACACTCTGTACTAAGCTACGATTGGGGTGGACTCAAAACTGCGGAAGCTGCTGGAAGGTTCTAGAAGCCTGAGGCAGAGGCCAACCCCAGAACGGCACGGGGGGGAGGGGGGACACTCAGGGACAGAGGACAGGCGGGGAGATTGTCTCTGCCTCCCTCAGCTACCTGCTCAGGGAGACCCCGGCCAGGGTGGGAGTGCCGGATGATGCTTCTCGTGGCACGTGGCCTGGACCCAGACCTGGGCTTGTCTCACTCCCACGACTCCCTCCGAGCCTTGAGGGGGCCTCACCGCAGGCTGGGAGCTCCTTAGAGATGGGGGCCGGGGCAGCTCTCGGCCCTTCCACCTGGTCCAGAAAGCAGGTGCCCAGCGCGGCAGCCCCGCCCCAATACCGCCCCACCCCGCCCCCAAAACAGCCTCTCGCCCCACCCCAACACCACCCACTCCCCGCCCCTTCCCCCACAGCCTCAGCCCCACCCCCAACATCTCACCCCGCCCCAACACTACCTACGCCCTGCCCCCAAACCGCCCACGCCCCCAACACCGCCTAAGCCCCGCCCCAACAGTCTCAGGCCCACAACAGCCTCAGCCCCACCCATACAAGCCTCAGCCCCGCCCTCAAACAGCCGTAGCTCCGCCCATGCAGCCTCGGCCCCGCCCCCAACAATCTCAGTCCCGCCCACAGTCACAGCCCCGCCTCCAAACAGCCATAGCCCCGCCCCAACAACATCAGCCACGCCCCCAGACAGTCGTAGCCCCGCCCCAACAATCTCAGTCCCACCCACACAGTCTCAGCCCCGCCCCCTCAGGCCCGTGGCCACCTGGAAGAGGAAAGCGGTGGTCTTTCCCTGGGGACCACCAGGAGGTGATGGGCACAGCCGAGCCCAGGAGGAGTCGGGGGACGGGCAGGACTGCAGCAGGAGGGGCCAGGCGGGTGTGGGGGTCGTCAGCATCGGGGTCCCCAGCCCCGAGGACCCCCCCTTGCCTCCCCTGCCCCTTTCCCGGCATCTCGCTTCCCCCAGAGGCGGCACGAGGACCCCCAGGCCGTGGGCGCCGAAGCTGAGCGGCGGGAGCTGGGCCCCCTGACCCAGGACGCAGGTGAGCAGCGCCCCCCCCACGGGGCCCGCGGGAGGGCAGGCGGGTCGGGCTCCCGCTCAGGACCCGCGGCCTCTCCCGCAGCCGCTGCCGGGCCCCCACGCGACCCCGAGCAGGAGGAGCCGGAGCCCCAGACGGTGCTGCAGCGTCAGGAGGACCAGAGTGAACCTGCGCCGCGGGTGCGTGCGTGGGGGCAGCCGGAGGGTGGGGGTCGGCCTCCCCAGGCCTGCAGCAGGAGGTTCGGGTCGGGCCTCGGCCCTGTGGCAGGAGGTTCGGTCCGGCCTCCGGCCTCCAGCCTCACATCTGACCCTGCCCAGGTGGAGTGCGAGCGACGGGGGAGCTCGGAGCTGACCGAATCCAGCCCAGAGGGGCAGCAGGATGCGCTACGAGGTAGCCAAGAGAGGGGGGCAGCCGCCCTTCAGGGGTCCCAGCCCGGCCTAGCCCCTCTTTCCCTGCACACACTGCAGGGGTGCCTGCCTGCTGGGAGCAGACAGCAGGGACAGTCCTGAGGGGCCGGGATGGCGCCACCCCCTCCCTTGGGACCCACCCTGTGGGCCTCGCGCCCCGCCTGAGGGGCCCTGGGCTGCCTGAGCAACAATCTGGGGGTCCCTCCAGCTGGCGCCCTGCCGCTGCCCTCGCTCTGAGAGACCCAGGGAGCTCCCCCCACCCTGTCCTGTACTGGGGGGCTCTCTGACAAGCCCCCACACACAGCCCCTTCCCTGCAGCTCTGCAGGCCTCCCATGAGCAGGAGAAGGAAGCCCTCGCCCGGGCCCACCAGGAGGCCATAAAGGCTCTGCAGGTGAGTGCATCTGGGGGGTCAGGGAGGGCCAGGGAGGGTCTGTGAGGGTCTGTGGGGGCAGGTCTGTGAGGAAGCATCTGTGGGAGGTTGTGGCATGTCCCCATGGGACCAGGTGCAGGGGTGCTTGCCTGTGAGGCTGGGGTCGGGGGTGGGGGATGACAGGCTGGGGGACAGAGAAGAGGAGCCAAGGAGGACTCCTTGGCGGAGAGCGGGTGGAGCTGGAGAGGAGGGAGGCGTCTGTGGCCCAATGGCATCTGGTCTGTGGACAGACACGGCTCCTGACCCCTGGCACTGTCCCCACGCAGGGGGAGCCCAGGAGCAGGAGGCCGGTCTCTCCACCCAGTGGTTGGGAGGGAGGGCAGGGCCGCCCGGGCTGTGCAGCGCCCAACTCGATGGTCCTCCCTGCAGGAGAAGGTGGACAGCCTGACCGCACAGCTGGAGGCTGCCCAGGCCCAGATGAGGCGCGCGGAGGAGTCCGTCTTGAGCCGAGACTATAAACAGCACTTCCAGGTGCGCGAGGCCCCGGGCAGGCCTGGGCACCCCTGGGAGGGCGGGCAGGGGGCCGTGGTGGCCTCAGCCTGCCCCCGCTACTCCCTGACCCCAGGACCACGGCGGCCTCAGCGAGTTCTGGGAGCGGGAGCTCGAGAGTTTGCACTTTGTCATCGAGATGAGGAACGAGCGTGTGCATGAGCTGGACAGGAGGCTGGCGCTCATGGAGGCGGTGGTGCGTTGCCCTGGGCCCTGCCGCCATCACTGGGGGCAGGGGGCAGGGAGGGGGCGCCCTGGAGGCTGCGCCCATGTAACCTGGAGCCTCTGGACACTGCTGGGCGAGCAGGTCGGGTTAGGCAGGGCCTGATTCTCCGGTTCCGCCTTTCCTTGGCTGGGCACTCGGTGCCCTGGTGCCCAGGACAGGACTCACATCCTGCACAGGGGAGGGACTGAAGGGCCACGAAGACCCCAGGGCTGCCTCGGGAACGGGCAGGGCTGAGTGTCTCCGGCTGGGCGTCACCTCTGTCCCCGTCCCGAGCCGCACCCACAGACCAGCGGGACACACGGTCACCCTCGGGGGGCCTCCGTGGGGCCCTGGGCACGGCCACCGTGGGCGGTGAGCCGACCCCTCCCCGGCCTCACCAGCATCTCAGGTTGACGCCTTCCCGTCACCTCTGGGGTGGGGGACGCCGTGTCCGGGCCCACGACAGCGGGCACCTGCGAGTGAGTGTGTGCCCGGTGACAGAGAGAGAAGAGCCTGGCCCTGGACGAGAAACTCAGCTCCCTGCAGCAGGAGAATGAGGACCTGTACGCGCGCTTCCGCCAGCAGACGGCCGTCTCTCGGTGCGCGCACAGGGACGAGGGGCAGCCCGGGAGGCAGTGTCCCGAGCAGGGGACAAGGGAGAGAGGGAGGGAGCGCCCTAGGATGAGTGAATGAAGATGGACGCGAGAGCCAGGGACACAAGGGGCCGGGGGCGGAGACAGCGGGTGGATGGAGGTGAGCGAGTGGGCGGCGTAGATGAGGCATGGGAAGGGGCGAAGAAGGACGCTCGAGAGGAGCGAGTGAATGAATGAAACGGAACAGATGAATGAAATGAATGAATGAATGAATGAATGACAAATGAAGGAAGATGAATGAACGAGGGAAGGTGAATGAGTGGATGCTGATGAATGGAAGAATGACCAGGATCAGAAGCGAGTGAAGAGGAACCAATGAATGAGTGAATAAAGTGGATTAAAAGAAAGGGACCGAGCAGGTGGAGAAGAATTAACAGTGACTCCGAGGATGCACGTGTCAGACCAACTCTGGAGGGCCGTGGGGGGCTCCAGCCCCTCACGGTCCCAGGGGCCGGGGTGTTCGCTGGCCAGCAGTGCCTGTCCCCCTGCAGGCAGCTGTCGGAGGACCTGCTGGCCGCCCGCCAGGCCCTGGAGCAGGAGCGGCGGCTGCGGCAGGAACTGCAGCAGGAGAAGGAGGAGCTGCTCTTCAGAGTTCTGGGCGGCCAGGCCGGGCCGTCCTTCCCCCGGGCCCCCGTCACCCCCACCCCCACACAGGTCTCCTTCCTGGCCACCTAGGCCAGCTCAGCAGCTGGACACATGAACGCAGCAGGAACCCCCTCCCCCGGGGCACGGTGGGGTGAGACGCCCCAGGCAGCGAGCAGTCTGTCCACCCCGGCCTTCGCCCAGGACGCTGGGCACCTCAGTGCGCTGCTCCCGCAGCATGGACACGGGCACGGACACGCGCGTCACGGGGTCTCTGCAGACTAGACCCGAGGCTGGTGGGGCCCCTGGGAGGCGGCCAGACATGTCCTGAGCCCCTTCCGGGCAGGCTGAGGGCCAGGGGTCAGGGAGGCCCCAGCTGCTCCCGGGTCTGCCCACCAGCACCTCCTTTCTGGGACTCGGGAAGCCAGGTGCCTGTCCCCCCGCCCGCCCCCCACCCCTGCCTGGATCTGGCCCCACCCATGGGCTGAGGTGCGATCTCCCCAGGAAGCCCTGTGGGCGGGGGACCCACCCAGCACCCACAGACAGCCTCCCCCACCCAGATGCTTCCTGTCTTCGGTGGCAGATGGGGGTCTTGGTGGAGGCCAGAACCCAGGGCCGTGTCACACTGGGTGACCGCCTCCTCCCTGTGGGAGCTCAGGCTGGACGGGCCCTGGACATGGACAGAGAGGAGTGGCTGGGCCAGAGGTGCCTTTTGGAAGCTTGATGTGACTGACGCCCACTGGCACTGCAGCGAGCCCTGAGGAAGCTGTGTCCTGGCACGGGTGGATGGGGCACAGAGGAAGGCCCTGCCCACGCGGGGCCTGTCCCTGGCACGGCCACCACATCACCACACCTGAGAGTGGGGTCAGGCACAGGCTCAGGACAGATGGTGGGCCCCAGTGTCACCCCAAGCCAACAGACAGACGCAGGGCTGTAGACTTCATCAGCTACCGGGTGGAGAGACAAGGGTCAGCGGCTCAATGCTGGACATCGTGATATGAGCAGCCTGGACCCACAGGGCTTGCCTGGGGGCGTGCCTGGGGGCACGGGGGCCACCAGGTGCTGGGAACCTTGTGTGCACACAGACACACACATGTGAGCGCACACGCGTGCACACACAGGAACACACATGTACACGTGTGCATGCACTTCGCACTCGTGCAGACACACATGTGCACATGCACCACGCTTTGAGCTGTCCCCAGCCCTCACACACCTGCACATGCGTGCACACAGACATGCATACCCACCACACACCCTCCACCTTTGGAGCTCTGTCCTGAGCTCTGGTGCTCACACACGCACACACACGCGTGCACATACACGTATGCTCGCTCAGCCCGCCAAGCTCCGTCCAGAGATCTGGTGCTGTGGTTTTTGTTTCCGTTTGCTCGGGGGCCAGGCCCAGCAGTGCTCAGGGGCTCCTCCTGGCTCTGCACTCAGGACTCTCTCCCGGCGGTGCTCAGGGGTCGAAGCTGGCTGGCCGCGTGCAAGGCGCGCTCCCCACCTGCTTCCCGGCCCCTGCGGCCCTGTGCCTTGGCTCCTGAGGAGCCCCACTTGCGTCGGACGAGGTTCGCAATAAACCTGTCAGAGATGAAGCGTGTTGAAGTCCCGTTCCATGGACGCGCTGCCCCCGCCCGGCACGTGTGTGTCCCTCTGGGCTGGCCACACACCACCCCCTGCTCCGCGGGAGGACCGTCGGCCCCACCTCCGACACAGCGGCTCTCTCCAGCCCTGACTCCTCCCTGGGCCCCCACAGCGGAGTTCCCAGAGTGACCAGCCCGATGGCCTGGACGGTCTGGGGAGGTGGCCAGCCGAGCACCCGCAGTACTGGGTCCCGCCAGCAGGTGGCAGTGCCTGCGCGTCCCCTTCCCAGGGGTGCCCGCAGCAGGCCCCTGGGCAGAGACTGGGCGCGGGAGCAGAGTCCCTGGGCCCCTGCGGGTAGGCAGTTCCTCCTGAGCATAGAACCCCGCTCCTGCCACCTCCCTGGCTAGGGCAGGGGCCTCCACGGTCGGCCTGGGGCTGGTCAGGGAAGGCCAGGAGTCCCTGCCTCCAGGACAAACCCCAGGGGCTCAGAAGAGGTTGCTGGGAATCAGCGTTTGGGGTGGGGTCTTCCTGAGGCCCAGCGGGAGGGGCACCAGGCAGCGCCGTCCCCGCAGGGAGGGTCAGCACAGGGAGGGCGCGTGCCTGGCCAGGGTCCTACCCTGCACCACACCTGAGGGGCCCAAGGGATCAGGGAGGCCGCTTGCTCACACGCTGCTGACCCAGGCTCCGTCCCCGGCACCCATGTGGTGCACCAGCAGGAGTGACCCCTGAGCACAGAGTCAGGAGTAAGTCCTGAGCACTGCTGGGTGTGACTCCAAACACAAACAACAAAAACCAAGGGGTCCCTGAGCACTGCCTAGGAGTGACCTTGAGCACAGAGCCAGGAGTAAGTCCTGAGCAGCGCCAGGTGTGGCCCCAAACAGAAATAAACAAAAACCAAACAAACAGCATGTGGTCCCTGAGCACTGCCTTGGAGGAGTGAGTCCGAGCACCGCTGGGGGTGGCCCCCGGACAAGACCAAGATGGTGGGAGCGTGGGGATGGGAGAGGAGGAAGCCCACTGCCTGGTGCCATCCCGCACGATGCAGTCTCTGAGCCCCGAGTGCAGGGCTGCGAGTAAGGGCTGTGGGGATGGTCCAAAAAGAGAGGGAAGGAACAGAGGAGGGGACGGGAAGGAAAGGGAGAAGGAGGGAGGGAAGGAGGGAGGGAAAGAAGAGAAGGAAAGAGGGAAGGAAGGAAGGAGGGAAGGAGGGACGGGAGAGAGGGAAGGCGGGAAGGAGGCCGGCAGGGAGGCCAGGAGGGAGGCGGCGCTCCTTTGGGCCAGCCGGCAAAGCTGACTGTCCCGGGACCCTGTCCAGGGGACTCGAGTGTCCAGGCCGGCCGCCCGCGGAGCAGAGGGCCTGAAACCAGTCAGTGACGCGCTGCCTCCCGGGTCCCCGAGCCAAGTCCCCCCTCCGCGCCCCGGACTTGGGTGTCCACTACTTCTGGGCGGGACCCGGGGGACTCCGGCGTCGCCCCGCCCCCCCCCCCCCCCCCCCCCCCCGTCCCGAGACTGGACCAGGCCCGGGGCCTGGAGGAACCGGTTCCGCCCGGGGCGGACGCGGGCCGCGTGACCTTTAGGCCTCCGGGTCCCTGGAGCGCGAGGCGCGGGCCGGGGGCTGCGCGGGGCGGCCGGGCGGGCGGGTGGGCAGGGCGGTGGGCAGGGCCCCCGCGGGCGCCGTGTCGTGGCGGCCGGGCCGGGGGTGACTTTCTCGGATTCCGGAGAGCGGGGCGGGGCTGCCGCCCATTGGCGCCCGCGGGACACGTGTCCCCCGCCCGGAGCCCCGTCCCCTTCGCCGCCGCCGCCTCGGCTAACGGGTCCCGCCAGCTCTGCTCACGCCAGGTGAGCGGGTGCGCGCGGGGGGCGCGCGGGGGGCCGGGGCGGGGGGCCCGGCTGGGTGCGGGGGGCCCGGCCCGGGGTGCAGAGTGGGGGCAGGGGTGCGGGGATCCGGGTGCTGGGTTGGGGGGGGTCCCTGCTGGAGGTGCGGGCCAGGCGGGGCCGGCGGGTGCGGGGCTGGGCTCGGAGTGTGGGGGGCCGGGTGCGGGGCGCCGACCTGGGGTGCAGGGGTGCAGGGTGCGGGCAGGGGTGCTGGGGCCCCGACCGGGGGAGCGGGGAGCCGGGTGTGGGGTGTGGGGGTCCCAGCCGGGGGTGCGGGAGGGCCAGATTGGGGTGTGGACGAGGCGGGGAACGCGGGTGCGGGGGACCCTGCTGGGGGTGCGGGAGCCGGTAGCGGGGTGCTGGGGGGCTGGCTTGGGGTGCAGGGTGCGGGCCCCGGCCCTGGGTGCAGGGTTCTGGGGGTCCGGCCTGGGGTGCGGGGGCCCGGCCCAGGGTGCGGGGGGCCAGCCAGGGAGTGGGCGAGGCAGGGCCCGCGGGTGCGGGGGCCCGCGCTGCGAGCACTGTGCTGGGGCGCGCGCGGGGGAAGTGCGCTCAGGGCGCGCGGGAACTGGGGGATCCCGAATGGGGGTTGCGGGTGGGCGCGGCGCCGCCAGGGACGTTTTTGGCAGGCGGCGCGGTGGGGATGCAGAACGCAGGACACGGAGGCCAAGGCCCGGCTGGAGCGGGTCTGGAGCGGGTCTGGAGCGGGTCGGGCCTCCGGGACCGGGACCGCAGGGTGCAGTGGCTGGGATGACCTTTGTGCTGCGGGGAACCCCAAGGCCACACCCCCGGCCACACCCTGCATCCCTTGGACCCCTGCCTGCCCACCAAGGAGACCCGGGTGGGGTCTCCACTTTTTACTGTTCCCCGTGCCCCAGGGCCTTGGCGACCCGCTGAAACTGGAGCCAGATGGCCATGAGTACCCATCAGGCCTGATGGCCTCCAGGTCCCTCAGGGGTCCGGGACACTGGCCAGGGCCCAGGGACCACCCCCTCTGCTTCCTTTCCAGCTTGCTGGGTCGCCTGGGGCTTCCTGCAATTCCAAACTTGGACTCCCGGCCAGGGGCTGCGGGTGAAGCCCCCCGGGCAGGCCTGTCCTTTGTCTGCGCCTGCAGGCGGGGCTGGGTGTGGCCGCATCTGTGCCGGGCTTGTGAGCAGCTGCTGCAGCCCCCACACCCGCACTGCGGCCCGCAGCTGCCCGAGGCTGGAGGCAGCGGGAGGCCACACCCAGCCCCCTCCCGCCTCCTTCCTCCTGGGGACAGCGTTACCCCTTTCCTGCTGCGGCTGGGTGCGGGCATGGCGTCCACTCCAGTCCAGAGCCTGGCGGGGCGTGGGGTTCCCGCGTGCAGACGCTGTGCCTGCATCCCTCGAGGAGGAGTGGGGCGCCTGCGTGTCTGCACACAGGGGCCTCGGGACCCTCAAGCAAGGGGGGCTGCCCCACGGCCGAATGTCTTGGGTGCCCTGTCACCTTGCTCTGTCGGGGGCGGGGGACGTGCTGGGTGAGAGGTGAAGAGTGGGGTGCCGTGCAAGAACGTCGGGGTGCAGCGCTGGGTGAAACGAGGGGTGCTGGATGCAGTGGGGAAATCTTGCGGTGCGATGGGAAATATTGGGGCGCAATGGGGGTGCAGGGTGTAACTGGAAAGTACTGGGGTGGGGCAGAAAGCACCGAAGTGCCCGGGAGTGTCGGGGTGTGAGAAAGTGTCGGGGTGCAGGGGGAAGTGTTGGGGTGCAGGGGGAGTGTCGCACGGGGTGCAGGGAAAGTATCCGGGTGCAGGGGGAAGTGTCGGAGTACAGGGGGTGTCGGGGTGCGGGGGGAAGCCATAGCCTGTCTCAGGTCTGGGGTGATGGTCTGAGGTTGTTGCACCAGTAGAAGGTCAGGGACAGGCAGAGAGGGCAGCTGGACAGGGAAGGTGTGACCTGGGACAGGTATGATGCAGCAGGTGTGACCAGGCAGGTGTGACTGGGCAGGTATGACAGGGCAGGTGGTCAGGGCAGGTGTGACCAGGCAGGTGTGACGGGGCAGATGTGACCAGGCAGGTGGTCAGGGCAGGTGTGACGAAGCAGGTGGTCAGGGCAGGTGTGACCGGGCAGGTGTGATGGGGCAGGTATGACGGGGCAAGTGGTCAGGGCAGGTGTGACCAGACAGGTATGACAGGGCAAGTGTGACGGGGCAGGTATGACCAGGCAGGCATGACCAGGCAGGTGTGACAGGGCAGGTGTGATCAGGCAGGTGTGACTGGGCAGTTGTGACCAGGCAGGTGTGACGGGGCAGGTGGTCAGGGCAGGTGTGACCAGGCAGGTGTGACGGGGCAGGTGGTCAGGGCAGGTGTGACCAGGCAGGTGTGACGGGGCAGGTGGTCAGGGCAGGTGTGACCAGGCAGGTGTGACCAGACAGGTATGACAGGGCAAGTGTGACGGGGCAGGTATGACCAGGCAGGCGTGACCAGGCAGGTGTGACGGGGCAGTTGTGACCAGGCAGGTGTGATGGGTCAGGTGGTCAGGACAGGTGTGACCAGGCAGGTGTGACGGGGCAGGTGGTCAGGGCAGGTGTGACGGGGCAGGTGGACAGGCAGGTGTGGACTCAGCCGCTGCCTGGCTGCCTGGGACCCCCACGCAGCCCAGCCTCGTGGCATCAGGTTGGGGTGGTCAGGGGGACCCACCTGGTATGGTCCTGAGGTCAGTCCCAGCCCAGTCTCCCTCAGGAAGTGAGCCCAGCATGTGTGGGACCAGCATGTGGCCAGCCTGGCCTTGCAGGTGTGCTGCAGCGGCAGCCGTGGTCAGTCCAGCCTGGCCGGAAATGGGCCCACAGGAGACCCTGCTTGGGCCCGGGAGGGGAACATCAGTGGGGCTGGGGGTCTCTCGGGGCTGGGGAGGGTCTTGGGGCTGGGTGGTCTCTCGGGGCTGGGAGGGTCTTGGGGGGTCTCAGGTCTGGGGGTGTCTCAGGGTTGGGGAGGGGCCCAGGGCTGGGTGGTCTGTTGGGGCTGGGGGCCTGGGGGTCCCTGCGTGACCTCTGCAGTGTCTCTGTATGTGCATGGCAGCTCCCAGCGGGACCCCTGAGGACGGGGGCCCCCAGCCTCCTGGGGTGACCACCCCACGCTCATCCTCCTTGGGTGCCCCATGGAAAGGGGCATCCGTCCAGCTGGGGCTGGGCTGTGTCCAGCGGTGGAAGTTTCCGGCGGGCAAGCCAAGCAGGCCCGGGCAGGTGCCGCCTGCTCCCTGCCACTTCCTGTCAGCCCCGCGCCTGGGCCCCATCCCCTTCCCCTTCCCGCAGGCCGGAACCGGCAGATGTGGGCGAGAGGGGGCCCCTTGCGGGGGGGGGGGGGGGGGGTGTGTGTGTGTGCTGTGTTTGTGTCCCGGTTGCCAGGGCGACCAGACTTCCTCCCGCGCCCTTCAGCCCTCGGTCACTGCTGACAGCCCAGGGCCGCACACTGGCCCTGCCTGCCCTCTGCTGCCCCGTGGGGCCCTGACCCTGTGGGGGGGGGGGCGGGGGGCTGTCCTCTGCCCTGCCCCATCGCGTCCAGCTCTGCTTCTGCTGGCAGCTGAGTGGCTGCTGGTTCCCACAGTGCAGACGGGCCATGCAGCCTTAGGGGTCTCCCGCTGCTCCCCAGAGAGCCCCCAGCTCTGCCCCTCAGGGTCATGCCATTCCACAGCCCCCGGGCCCTGTAGGGCCTAGTGCTGGCCTGACCCTGTGCTGGTCTCGGTGGGCTGGTCCCCTCCTCGGCCCCCGCTGACCAGGAAGGAGGCCACAGGGCCAGGCCCGGCCCTTTCCTGAGAGTCTGGGTTCCAGGGGTCTCTGTAGGCTCCGAGGCCATCGTGTGGCCAGGCGGGGTCCTGAGGCAGGGAGAGAGAGAGAGGGCCACTCCGGGCAAGGACACTGCATGAGGGGGACGGGGCACGCGGGGGAGGGATGGACAGAGGGAGGGACGGCAGGACAGGTGGGGAGGGAGCTCCTGAGGCAGGTGGGCTGGAGGGGGTGGACGGACACATGGGCAGGTGCAGAGAGAGGGTCGTGGGGGGGGCGGGGGGCCGGGGGTCATCGCCTCCCTCTTCTCCACAGCCTCTGCCGGAGCTGACACCATGGCCCAGAACACACAGGTGAGCACCGGGAGACGCTGGGGCCTGTGCTCTCCGCCGGACACTCTGGGTTTTGGGCCTGGCCGGTGCTGGCTGACCCTCATATACTGTGTGTCCAGCCGGCTGCTCTGATGGCCCCCCCGGGCCCAGGCAGGCCTCTGCCCGGCACCCTGACCCGAGCCCCTGTGCGCCCCAGGGTGTCAGGCAGTGGCCACCTCTGTGCCAGTCTGGCCCCAGCTGGAGCTGAGAGTTCCCGTCAGCCTGTCCCTCTGTCCCCTTGGTGGCCCTCACTGTTGCTCCCCGGGCCCATCTCAGCCGTGCTGTGCCTCCTGCCTGAGGTCCCTCAGCAGCCCTGCCCACCAGCCGCTACCCGTCTCTGCCCGGGGGACCCTGCCCTGCCCAGGGGACTGTGGCCGCTTCCTGACAGCATCATGGCTGGACGCTGGTTGATGTGGGGGTGGCGGCTCCTGCCAGGTGGGCGCTGGCCCCGAGCCCCGGGCACTGACAGCCTGCCCTCCTGTCCCGCAGGGTGCCCGGTACCGAGGTTCCGTCCATGACTTCCCGGACTTCGACCCAGGCCAGGATGCAGAGGCTCTGTACACGGCCATGAAGGGCTTCGGTGGGTGTGGGGGGCGGACCTGGGCCTCTCTCGACACTTGCTGGGGGGGAGGGACACTTGTGAGATGGGGTGCCTAACCCCCAGGGACCAGAAGGCGGGGACCCTCTCCTGGCACGAGGGGCAGCCCTGGGAGGCTTCCTGGAGGCGGCAGGGTGAAGTGCAGGCGTCCCTTCCAGGGAGCGACAAGGAGGCCATCCTGGAGCTCATCACCTCTCGCAGCAACAGGCAGAGGCAGGAGATCTGTCAGAGCTACAAGTCGCTCTACGGCAAGGTGACACCCGGGACGGGGGCTGCCGGGCAGGGGACGCCGGGGTGGGCTCGAGGGCCAGCACTGACCTGCCCGCTGGCCCCAGGACCTTATCGCCGACCTCAAGTACGAGCTGACGGGCAAGTTCGAGCGGCTCATCGTGGGGCTCATGCGGCCCCTCGCCTACTGCGATGCCAAGGAGATCAAGGACGCCATTTCGGTGAGGCGGGTGGGCGGGTGGGTGGGGGTCCCAGAGCGGGCAGGACTGAGCCACGCCTGACCCCCATGTGTGTCCCCAGGGCGCCGGCACTGATGAGAAGTGCCTCATCGAGATCCTGGCCTCCCGCACCAACCAGCAGATGCATGCGCTGACCGCTGCCTACAAGGACGGTGTGTGAGGGGTGGCCGCCCGGCCCTCCGTGGGCCTCATCCCGACTGACCCCCGTCCCTTGTCCCGACTGTCCCCTATCCTTCGTCCTGACTGTCCCCCGCCCTTCGTCCTGTCTGTCCCTCGTCCTGTCTCCCTCCCTCCCTCCCCAGGACCTGGGGACCCCTCTAGGTGCTCAGAGACTGAGAGGCGACTGATGAGGGCGGGCACACGGGATCCGTGTTTGCATGTTGGGGACACGGTCCCGGCCAACGAGCTGGGTGTCCTGCTTGCGGGCAGGTGGAGGGGAGGGGACGGCAGGTCCAAGGTCCCAGGCGGATGCCAGCAGGGCCAATGGGGAGTCGTGGGGGCAAGAGTGCGCGGGCGGGGTCTCCCAGGGGCAGCCTGGAGAGTGGCCCCACCCGGGGACCCATATGGGAGCCAGTGAGGGGGTAACACATCCAGGCCTGAGCCCAGCCCCTCTCTGCAGCCTACGAGCGCGACCTGGAGGCCGATGTGATTGGAGACACGTCTGGACACTTCCAGAAGATGCTGGTGGTCCTGCTGCAGGTGGGCGGGCCTCCCCCCTCGCTGGCAGTGGGGGAGGGGGTGCTCTTGGGATCCCTCAGGAGTGCAGGGCCGAAGCCCACCCACGGGATACGAACTCAGCTCCTGCCCAGGGAACCCAGACCATCCCCCCGAGAGGCCCCTGGCGCCCACGGGGCAGGGCTGGTCAGCCCCGCGCTGGCCCTGCGGCCTGACTGGCGCCATGTGTGCAGGGCACCCGGGAGGAGGACGACGTGGTCAGTGAGGAGCTGGTGCAGCAGGACGTGCAGGTGCGTCTGCTTCCTCCTTCCCCTCGGGGCTCTGAGCTCACAGCGAGGGTGGACGGGTGTCAGGCCACCCCTGGCAGCACTGCAGACCCCCAAGCCGAGAGGCGGGTGGGCAGGAGGTGCTGGCGGGGGTGGGGTGCCTGTTCTTGAGCCCTGTCCCCCCCCCACCCAGGACCTGTACGAGGCCGGGGAGCTTAAGTGGGGCACGGACGAGGCCCAGTTCATCTACATCCTGGGCAACCGCAGCAAGCAGCACCTGCGTCTAGGTAAGCCTGGCACTGCCCCCCGAGCGAGCCCCCCATGCACGGGAGGGACACAGCCCTCCCGCGTGTGCCATGGGCTTGCCTTGGTGTGACTCGGCCGCCAGTGCTCAGTGGCCACCTCAGCGCCTCCTGCGAGTGTGGGTGGCCAGCACGGCCCCTCCTGTGCATGCCTGAGCCAAGGTCCCCCTGTCCCCCAGTGTTTGATGAGTACCTGAGGACCACGGGGAAGCCCATCGAGGCCAGCATCCGTGGGGAGCTGTCCGGGGACTTCGAGAAGCTCATGCTGGCCGTGGGTACGTCAGGGTGGGCGCTGACCCAGGAGGCAGGAGGGCCGTGAGCTTGGGGCAGTGGGTGGAGCCAGCCCCTCCCTGTGACCTGGGTGTCCCCGAGGCCTGTCGGGAAGGGGGGGGCACCTTGGGCGGGGGGCCAAGAGTGGACTGTCCAGGGCCTCAGCCAGCCCCGCCCCCACCACTTCTGCGCCCCCTTCCGGCCAGTGTTCTGGCCACAGCTCCTCCTGGACAGGCCTCCTGGGCCTCACCCCCTGACCGACCCCTCAGTGATCTCCAAGTGACCCCCAAGAGACTCCCCCTGGCCGATCCCCAAGTGATCCCGGGTGATCCCTGAGTGACCCCTCCAAGTGACCTTCCCCAAATGGCCCCAAATGGCCTCCCCAATTGACCCACAAGTGCCCCCTGTGTGAGCCCTGAGTGCCCCTGAGTGACCCCCCACACTGCCCCCTCTCTGCAGTGAAGTGTGTCCGCAGCACCCCGGAGTACTTTGCTGAGCGACTCTTCAAGGCCATGAAGGTCAGGGGAGGGCCGGGTGGGCTGGGGCGGGGGCAGGGGCTCGGCCCATCCACAGGGCCCCCGGCTGCAGGGCCAGGGAGGGCACTTGGTCCTGGGCCAGTACACGGCCTGGTCACTCCATCACCACCTCACTGGGCCCGAGACAGTGCCGAGGGGCCAGCAGACGACGGGGCCAGTGCACACACGTGTGTGGCACCAGACATACATGCAATAGACACACGTGCAACAGGTATACACACAGACGTGTACACACGCACAGAACAAGGCATACATGTGTAGCATGTGTGTGCTGCCCAGACACGCACAGATGTGTGGCACACAGACACACTAACATGGCAGCGGGTGGGACCTACGGATGTTCCGGCTTCCGCCAACCCGAGTGCAGACCCCAGGGTGGCGGAGCAGGGTCGGGGCTGGGAGCGGGGTGGGGGCGGTGGGGCGGCTCACCACTCACCCGCAGACACACCTCCCCAGGGCCTGGGCACGCGGGACAACACGCTGATCCGCATCATGGTCACGCGCAGCGAGCTGGACATGATGGACATCCGCGAGATTTTCCGGACCAAGTACGAGAAGTCGCTGTACAGCATGATCAAGGTGCGGGCCTCCCCGGGGCACTGCCAGGTGCACCGCCGGGTGTCGGGCTTCCCGGGCCGCTGGTGACCGTCCCCTCTCTCCCCAGAACGACACGTCCGGGGACTACAAGCGGGCACTGCTGAAGCTGTGTGGCGGGGACGACGAGTGAGTGGGGGACGAGGAGGGAGCGGGGGGCCGTGGGGCGAGGAGGGGTGAGAGTCAGGGCGGGAGGGTGGGCACAAGGGAGCTCAGGGCCTGAGGTGTGGCCCGGGGCCCTTGGAGCCAGGACACCTCTCAGTAGGGGCCTGAGTGCCTGTGTGTGCACCTGTGTGTCTGTACATGTGAGTGTGCACGTGTGTTTGTGTGTACGTATGTGTACACGTGTGCACCTTATGGTGTGTGCCTGTACATGAGTGTGCATATGTGCCCGTGTCTGTAAATGTGTGTGCAAGTGTGTGTACCTGGGAGTCTGTGTGCCTACGTGTGGATGTGTGTGCACATGTGTGCATGCCTGTGTTCCCACGTGTGCCTGTCTGTGTGTGTGTACACCTGGGAGTATGTGTATGCTCTGTGTGTGCTTACTTGTGGATATGTGTACCTGTGTGTGCTTGTGTGTGCACGCATGCGTGTAGTACACATGTATGCTCGTGTGTGTGTGCTCGTATGTGTGTGTGCCTGTCCGTGTGTGTGTGTGTGCACCTGGGAGTATGTGTGTGGCTGGGCCTCCGTGCGGGTGTGTGTACGTGTGTGCCCTCCCGGCAGCCCATGGGGGTGGTGGGGGTGCCCCCGTGACCTCCCGCCCTCTCCGTGTTCCAGTGCCGCCGGCCAGTTCTTCCCCGAGGCCGCGCAGGTGGCCTACCAGATGTGGGAGCTTAGCGCGGTGGCCCGCGTAGAGGTCAGACCCCCCCTGCTCCACCTCTGACCTTGCTTCTCTCTCGCTGCCCAGGGTGGGCTCTGCCTTCTCTCGGGCGAGGGGCGGTGTTCTCGCCGGCTGCTGCCTGCTTCCCCTCTGCCTGGCACACGCCCGCACACTAACAGGCCCTGATTTGCTCTGGCACGCTCTCACACGGGACCGGGCTGGCCCCTCAGGACTCGGCTGTCCCCAGGGGCGTCCCTGGGAGCAGAGGCTGCACCTCCCCGCATGCCTGAGGCCCCAGATCTGTCCCACACCGCACCTGCCAGCCTCGAGCATCCCGGCTCCGCTGCCGGGCCTCTAGCCCTGTGCACCCCTGGGGGCCTCCCCCAAACTGCAAGGACCGGGTCCCCTGAGCACTGCCGGGTGTGGCCCTAGAACCAAAACCAAAAATGAAGGAAGAACAACCAAGTTCCCCATGGGCCGGCTGCCAGGCAGACGGGTGCGGGAAGGCTCTGGGCACCCTCCCCGCCCGCCTGGGCCTCCTGAGGCAGGGCGAGGGGCTCTGGCCAGCGCAGGACACGCTGGGAGCAGGGGCAGGGTGCAGAGGAGCAGAGTCGCAGGGGAGACGGCGCCTGGGGTGCCGCGGGGTCTGAGGCTGCAGCCCCCCACGCCCCGTTTTCATCTTGTTCCCCAGGGTCTGTGCAGGACATGGCTGGGGTCTCCGCCTGGGCGCTGGGTTGGGTGGGGCGGGTGGGGACTAGCCCGCCCTTCAGGCCCTCGCTCCTGCTTCCGGGGGTCTTCGGGAGCCGGCGAGGGGGCCAGGCCACACCTGCCCCGCCAGCTGGGCCCTGAGAGTCCCTCCCCTTCCCGCAGCTCAAGGGCACTGTGCGCCCCGCGGACAACTTCGACCCCGATGCCGACGCCAAGGCCCTGCGCAAAGCCATGAAGGGGCTCGGTGAGGGCGGGGAGGGGGAGTTGGTGAGGGCAGGCGGGGGGTCAGGCTGGCGGGCTGGGCCAGGCGGGGTCGGGGGCGAGGCGGCCCCCTGGAGGAGGCCGGTCTCTGCGCAGGGACCGACGAGGAGACCATCATCAACATCATCACGCGCCGCAGCAACGCACAGAGGCAGCAGCTGCGCCAGACCTTCAAGTCGCACTTTGGCAGGGTAAGCACAGCCCACCCAGCCCACCGCAGCTGGCAGCTGGCGGGGCAGGGGTGGGGCCGGCCAGGGGCGGGGCCGGCGCGGATTGGACCGATGGGCGGGGCTTCAGTGAATGGGCGGGGCTTCAGTGAATGGGCGGGGCTTCGGCTGGTGGGCGTGTCTTGGTAGGGCCTTAATAAGCGTGTGTTGGGCGGGGCTTCAGTGAGTGGGCGTGTCTTTGGGTGGGGCTTCTACGAGTGGGCGTGTCCTGTCTCGGTGGGTGTGGCTTGAGAGCTACATCTTGGTGCCAGGTCCTGGGTTGGCACCGAGCTTAGGGTGAGCGGGGTGCGGCCTCCACTAAGGGCTGCACTTGGCTGAGCAGGACCTGATGGCCGACCTGAAGTCAGAGATCTCAGGGGACCTGGCCAGGCTGATCCTGGGGCTCATGATGCCACCAGCCCACTATGATGCCAAGCAGCTGAAAAAGGCCATGGAGGTGGGTGTGATCCTGCCCTGCACACGTGCCCGCTCCCTGCACACGTGTGTCCCTGCCTGCACACGTTCCAGTCCCAGCACACACGTGTCCCTGACTGCATACATGCCGGGTCCCTGACTGCATACATGCCCGGTCCCTGCACACACGTGTCCCTGTCCTGCATGCTCCACAGCCCCTTCCTACTTGTAGCTCTTTCCTGACTGGGGGAGGCATTTCCCCTGGGTCTGGAGGTGAGGGCAGCCATGGGGGGCCCTGCCTGGACCTCGGCCACTGGTCTGGGTGCTCCTGGCACAACGTGCCCTCCCCTCCGAGAGGTCAGGGTGGTTGGGCCTCAGCCTGTCTCTGTGTCCAGGGTGCTGGCACCGACGAGAAGACCCTCATCGAGATCCTGGCCACTCGGAACAACGAGGAGATCCGGGCCATCAATGAGGCGTACAAGGAGGGTGAGGAGTTTGTGGAGAACCTGGGTGCAAGGGGTGGGGGTCGCAGCCCCCCACGTGGCCGCAGCCCACACGCCTCTCTCCCCCGCAGACTACCACAAGTCCCTGGAGGATGCCCTGAGCTCTGACACTTCCGGCCTTTTCCGGAGGATCCTCATCTCTCTGGCTACGGTGAGGGGCCGGGGGTGGGGGGTCCTGCCCTGCCCCTCAGAGTCTCCCAGGAGCTTCTCCAGCTAAATCTTCCCAGAGTGGCCCTGCAGCCAGCTCCTCCAGGCAGCCCTCCTGGGTACCCCTTCCCAGCCTCATTCTGGTGCCCTGTTTACACGACCAGGCCCTGGGGTGCTCTGCACCTTCCCTGTCTGTGGGTTCCCTGTCCCCAGAGGCCATAGGCCAGCTGGGAGGGGTCAGTGGAGGCCCCTGCCACCTCAGGCGGGTGTACTGACCTCTCCCGTGACCCTTGCTGCAGGGCAACCGTGAGGAGGGAGGAGAAGACCGGGACCAGGCCCGGGAGGACGCCCAGGTGAGCCGCCGTCCTCAAAGGTCGCCCTGCAGCGGGCCAGAGCTGCCGGCCTCACCTGCTGTGTGCTGGCAGGCTGCAGGGCTGGGGCTGGGGGCCGGGCTGGGCGTCCCGGGGGCTGGTGCTGGGACCTGGTGTCCCCGGGGGCTGGGGCCCTTGTTGGCGCGGCTGGCAGGCCAGAAGGGGCCAGAGAGAACCTGGGGGGCAGCAGGCGCCATTGCCGGCGGCCCCGACCCCCGAGCTGAGCGCCCACCCTGCTTTTGGCTCTTCATCCCTCGGACCCCTCCTGCCCTCGCTCTGTCTCTGTCTTCCGCCTGTGGGTGGGGCCGGGGACTCTAGGGGGCCTCACCCCCACACACGGGCCCCGAGCCTCTGACTTCTGCGTCCTCCTCTCTCCCCTTCCCCTGCCAGGTGGCCGCAGAGATCCTGGTGAGTGACCCCCACTGACCCCGCGCAGGATCAGGGGCCGGGGGCTCCCGCAGCTTCTCTCTCCCCCCTTCGGGGCCTCCGTGGAGCCCGCCGGCAGCGCATGCTCCCCCCGCCGCCCGCCGGCCCCTGAGCCAGGGTGGTCCCCAGAGCGGGGCCCAGCAGGGTGACCCGAGGGAGCGCTGGGGTGACGGGCCGTGTCCCCGCAGGAAATCGCCGACACCACCAGCGGGGACAAGGACTCCCTGGAGACGCGCTTCATGACCATCCTGTGCACCAAGAGCCACCAGCACCTGCGGAGAGGTAGGTTGCCCGCCGGGCGCAGGGACGCAGGATGCCCCGCCCCACCTGACGCCCCGCCCCTCCCTGATGCCCCGCCCACCCGACGCTCCGCCCTCCCTGATGATGCCCCGCCCCGGCCCGCCTGATGCCCCGCCCTGCGCAGTCTTCCAGGAGTTTGTCAAGAAAACCAACTATGACGTGGAGCACGTCATCAAGAAGGAGATGTCAGGGGACGTCAAGGACGCCTTCGTGGCCATCGGTGAGCGCCGGCCTCAGACATGTGCACGCCCCAGAGCACACGGACATGTCCCACGCCCCACGGCACACGCCTCATGGCACACGGACACGCCCCATAGCACATGCACACATCACGCCCCACGATGCACACGGACTCAGCACACGTCCCACGGCACAGGGACACTCTCACACTCCACAGCACACGGACACGCCCCACGCCCCACAGCACACGGACACGCCCCACGCCCCATAGCACATGCACACATCACACGCCCCACAGCACATGGACACATTCATGTCTCACAGCACATGGACATGCACACATCACACACCTCACAGGCATTGTGAGCAGGGAGGTGGCCAGGGTCAGTGTGGTCTCATGCCTCAGTACATGGGGCCACAGTAACCTCAGGACCATGGTAGTACCTGTAGAGAGTACCTGAGACGGTGGTACCCATAGAGACTCAGGGCGGTACCTATAGTGTGCTCTGGAAATGGTACCTGTAGAGAGTACTTGCACGGGTACCTATTGAGTACTCAGGGTGGTGGAACCTGTAAACAGTACTTGGGGTGGTGGTATCTGTGGAGTACTCGGGGTGGTACTTGTAGAGAATACTCGGGGTGGTACTTGTAGTGTACTCGGGGCAGTGGTACCCGGGATGGCTGTGGCCTCAGGTCAGGCTGACTGTGCCCGGAGTGGGTCCTGACCTGAGTGTGTCCATCTCCCCACAGTGCAGAGTGTCCGGAACAAGCCCCTCTTCTTCGCGGACAAGCTCTACAAGTCCATGAAGGTGCGGCCCGTCCTTCCGTCCGCCTGTGCCCCGCTTATGGCCCCTCCATGCACTGCGAGGTTTCCTGAACCCGGGCAGGGCCGGCCGCTGCACTCCATCCCCACCGCCCCTTCCCTCTGTGCCCTTGGTCACTCTTGGGGCCCCATGCCACATCCTCAGCTCCAGGACCCTGCCGTCTGTCCTGGCGACCCTCCCGCGGACCCCTGTGCAAGGGCGGGGCAGGCTCTGTCTTGGCCATGGGGCGTCCCTGGCCTGACCCGCGGTCCCTCCCCCCCCCGCGTGCAGGGCGCGGGCACAGATGAGAAGACGCTGACCCGGATCATGGTGTCCCGCAGCGAGATTGACCTTCTCAACATCCGCCGCGAGTTCCTGGACAAGTACGACAAGTCCCTGCACCAGGCCATCGAGGTGAGGCAGGACCCGGTCCCGCCCGGTCCGCGGGCAGCAGACCCACGCCTGCATCTCACCTCCCAGTCCGAGGGCTCTGCCTTGGGCACCGTCTTTGCAGTGTGTCCAGCCCCGGGAGCTGCCCGTGACGGGGGTATATCCGAGGGGGCCGGGTGGCAGCAGCCTTTGGGGGAGCCGACTGTTTCCATGGCCCTGACCACTGGTGCTTACCCGGGCCCGTCGAGGAGCGGGTCCAGCCACGCAAGGCGCCGCCACATCCAGCCCGGCCGTGCTCTGACCGCCCCCCTGTCCATAGGGCGACACCTCCGGGGACTTCTGCAAGGCGCTGCTGGCCATCTGCGGGGGTGACAACTAGCCCGGCCCAGCGAGAAAGGGTCACACGCCCACTCCACAGCGAGAGGAGGAGGCCTCTCGCTCCCGCCCACGCCTGAGCCGCTGCCGGCTGCCCACGGAGCCCACTGAGTCATCCCGCCTCACGGCGCCCGCCCAACACAGCCCATGCCCCCTCCCTGCCCGGCCCTCTCAAATCCAGAAAGTCTCCGACCTCTGGTCCGAGTGTCTGTGCCTTGGCTCGCGGCTGTTCTCCGTGGGGCGGGTTCTGTCGGCTGTGCCTGTGTGGGGTTCTCGCCCCGACACGCTTCCTGGGGCTGGGCTGGGTGACCCCGGCAGGGGCGGGGGGATGGCTTCTCTGCCATCTTCTGGAACACTGTCCCGGAGCGGGTCTCGGCCGGGGCCACCTTTGGGGTCACACTGCCCAGGACAGACACCCCGTCGTGGGAAACCCGGGCTGAGTCCTGTCCCGTGGGGTCCCCTGGGGGTCACAGCTGAGAGGGGCACTGGGGGTCTCTGCAGGGGCCCCAGGCTGTGCGCCCGGCTGAGTGTCCTCGGCTGCTGCTCATAACAAGCACTCCATCCCCACCGCCCCTTCCCTCTGTGCCCTTGGTCACTCTTGGGGCCCCGTGCCACATCCTCAGCTCCAGGACCCTGCCGTCTGTCCTGGCGACCCTCCCGCGGACCCCTGTGCAAGGGCAGGGCAGGCTCTGTCTTGGCCATGGGGCGTCCCTGGCCTGACCCTGATGGGGCTCAGCTGTGCCGGAATGTTCCAGAACCTGCCCCTCTCCTGTGGCCCATGGGGCAGGGCCTGACCTGGTGGCTGTGGCCATGTGGGCCCAGCAGAGAGCGAGGATGTGAGGCCCCCCGTGGCCATGGCCCTGGACCAGTGCAGCCCACCTGGCTGTCAGGAGAGGCCAGGGATGGTGTGGGGGACAGCAGGGACGGCAGGGTGGACGCCAGGGGCAGGCATGGCGGCTGGGGCCGGGTCCGGGTGGGCAGCACGTGGGCTGTGAGGAGCAGTGGGCAGTTTCCCCAGGCACCCTCCCTCCCACCGCCTCTTCAGAACGTTCTGGAACTGGCCTCAGTGAGCGAGTGAGTGCTGAGGACACCCTGCTGACTTACGGCCTGGCCTGTCCAGCAGCCAGTGGCCGGGGTGGGGTGGGGGTGGGGCTGTGCCTGGGAGGGAGAGACACATTTGCACGGTGGGTTTCTGGGAAACCCCCACAGCTTCCTCCAAGCCAGGCGGCCCCTCCCGCAGCTGCGCCCTGGGATGCCCCACGCCCCCCTCAGGGGGCCCTAGACAGGCCTTAGTCCCTGTGCCTTGGGGCTGGGGAAGGTCACATCTGGGAGCCCTGTGGTAGTCTTGCCACACCGTGACCTGCCCTCGGAAAACACAGGTTTGCACAATGCCTCCTGGAGGCTGTTCCCCAGACACCCGGGCGGGGCAGTCTCTAGGGAGCACGGGGCTGCGTCCATGTCCTCAGGGCCCCTGACCCGGGGAGGCTGACTCTGGTCAGGCTGCAGAGCCCATTTCCCCCCCCCCCCCCGCCCCGTGAGGCCCCACCCAGACCCCCGGGTCAGTCTGCAGAGCCCGCTCCTCCCAAGACCCCCCTAGACCCCCAGGTGAGGCTGCAGAGCCCCGCCCCACACACAGGGTGGCACTGGCCCGCCCCTCTCACCCTCTGACTCTCGCCCCCTCTCTGCCTCTGAAGCTCCCCTACTGAGGGTCCCACTGGCCAGGATGTTCGTGGGTCAAGGCGGTGGAGGAGGCCACGGGACAGAGACAGGCCCAGGCCAGCAGGTGGCTCCGGGCCCTGCAGGCCCGTTCTGGGTAATCCAGGACCTGGTCACTTCCTGTCCACCAGGTGGCGTCTGGGGGCACCCACAGGCCCAGCACTGGCCCTTGGGCTGCTGTGTCGGCAGCTGTGTCCTGAGACCCGCCAGCCAGTCACTGGCCACTGGCCGGCCCAGCTGTGGGGGCTTCCTCTGCCTTGTGCTCCGAAGGGCCCAACCCGGAACTGCTTCTGCTGGAACACTGTCCCGGAGCGGGTCTCGGCCGGGGCCACCTTTGGGGTCACACTGCCCAGGACAGACACCCCGCCGTGGGAAACCCGTGCTGAGTCCTGTCCCGTGGGGTCCCCTGGGGGTCACAGCTGAGAGGGGCACTGGGGGTCTCTGCAGGGGCCCCAGGCTGTTGTGTCCAGTGGGGGCCGTGGGCCCACCTGCCACAGAGCAGCCCCCCGGCGGGAGCTGCCCAAGGAGGAAGTGCAGAAGAGGAGGGTCCGGAACAGGGTGGCCAGTCTGGGGGGGACGGCCGGGACCTGGGGGCCAGGCCTCGTGGCCAGGGGCGGTGCCCGGGAATTCCCCTCCCCGGGGCCTCTGCACTTCCTGCAGAGCAGACGGACAGGAACCAGGGACGGGACAGCGCAGGGACGCGGCCCCAGCCAGGTGAGCGGACGCCCACACCCCTTGCCCAGCGACCCTGCACCGGGTACACCCCCCTCCTGCCACGAGGGGCTGGTTCGCTCCCTTCCAGCCAAGAAGGCAACACTGTGCACACACGTGTGACTGCACGAGTCCCCAGGAGAGCTGCCGGGACAGTGTCGTGAGGACAGCAGTCAGTGGGGCTGTGTGCCTCGCATGTGTGTGTGGGGGTGTGTGTGTCTGAGCGTCTACTGTGTGTGTGTCTGTGGATGTGGTGGGTGTGTGCTGGTCCTGTGTGTGTGTGTGTGTGAGTACCTACTCTGTGTTTGTGGACATAGCAGGTGTGTGCTGATCCTGTGTGTGTGTGTGTGTGTCTGAGCGTCTACTGTGTCTGTGTCTGTGTACATAGTAGGTGTGTGCTGATCCTGTGTGTGTGTGTCTGAGCGTCTACTGTGTCTGTGTGTGTCTGTGGACATAGGTGTGCTGATCCTCTGTGTGTGTGTCTGAGCATCTACTGTGTCTGTGGACATAGCAGGTGTGTGCTGATCCTGTGTGTGTGTGTGTCTGAGCGTCTACTCTGTGTGTCTGTGGATATAGCAGGTGTGTGCTGATCCTGTGTGTGTGTGTGTGTGTGTGTGTCTGAGTGTCTGCTATGTGTGTCTGTGGTCGTGGTGGGTGTGTGCTGATACTGTGTGTGAGCGTCTACTGTGTCTGTGTGTGTCTGTGGACACAGCAGGTGTGCGCTGATCCTCTGTGTGTGTGTGTGTGTGTGGACATTGTGGGCATTTTTGCTATTGAGAAGACTCAGTGGCACCTATGGCCTCCTGGTCATGGGGGGGCACGGGTGGGCCGCCGGCCCTCTGGGTGGACACTGGAGCAGGCCAGGCTGTGCCCAGTCCAGATTCCCAGCCGGGCGGTGCCCTGGGAAGTCCCTGGCGCAGGATGTGGGGAGGAGGCCGGGCTGGGCCGAGGTTCGGCTGGGTTTCCCGGGGTTAGGAAACCGGCTGCTCACGTGGGCGAGGACGGCCCTCTGGGGAGTGCTGACCCCAGCCCAGAGCAGGGCGCAAGGACCGCCCTGCGCCCAGGGGGGAACTAGGGGCTGACTGGGAGCCGGCGCGCAGGGGGCCAGGGGCACTGAGACCAGGGCCACGGGGGTGGGGGTTGGCATGGAGGGCCGGGCGGGGCTAAGCAGTGCTGGGCGCAGCGGGGGGCGCAGGCCCGGGCCGGGTCTTGTCCCCGTGAGAAGCGCGGGCAGGCCGGACCCGCGCCCCCGGGGGCCGGGGGACCACCGCAGGCTGCGGGCCGGCCGGGGCGAGTGGACGCGCGGGGCGCCCCGAGCGCGTCCCGCCAAGCAGCGCGCGGGCTCCGGGGTCCGGCCCGAGAGGCGAGCGGGGACCCGGCCCGTCCAGGTCCCAGCAGCGCCCACCGGCCTGGGGAGCCCCGGGGCGTGAGCGTGAAACCCGACCTCGGGGCGGGAGGGGGGCAGCAGCGCCCGCCCGGGCCAGGGGCAGCGGCCGGGCCGGACCGCAGCGGGGCGGGGGTCCGGGTCCGGGTGTGGCCGGGCCCGGCCCGGCCCGGCCCGGCGGTCGCGCTCGCCCCGCCCCCGCCGCAGCGCCATTGGCCGAGCGGCCCGTCACTCGCGGGACTTTCCCGCGGGGCAGCCCCGCCACTTCCGGGACCCGCCGAGGCCGGGCCGGGCCGCGATCCCGAAGCGGAGCGGGCCGGGCCGAGCCGGAGCCTGGACCGTAGCCCTCGGAGGTGAGGGTCTGCGAGTGGGGGGTCCCCGGGGACTGGCGCCGGCCGGGCAGGGGGACGCGATCAGCCGGGGTGTGGTGGGGTGGGGCCTGTCAGGGTCTGGGGGCTTAGGGGGCCCTGGAGGGTGTGATCGGGGTCCTGGGGGGAGTGGGGGCTGTGATGGGGGTCAGGGGGCTCTACAGGGTGTGATCGGGGTCTCTGGGGAGAGTGGGGGGTGTGATTGGGGGTTAGGAGGTCCTGGAGGATGTGATCGGGGTCCCTGGGGAGAGTGGGGGCTTTATCAGAAGTCAGGGGATCCTGGAGGGTGTGATCAGGGCCCCCGGGGAGAGTGGGGGGCTTTATTAGGGGTTAGAGGGCCCTGGAGGGTGTGATCAGGGTCCCTGGAGAGTGGGGGCCCTGACGGGGTCTGGGGGTGTGGAGTAGGGGTGTGATCAGCCCGGGTGTGATGGGCTGGGGGCCATAATCAGGGGTCCCAGGGGGAGTGGGGCATGATGGGGGTCCGGGGTGTGTGGAGTGAGGGCATGTTTGGGGTCTGGGGCCCATCATGGGGGGAGTGACCGGGATCCTGGGGGTGTGATCAGGGGGCAGTAGGGGGTGTGATCGGGCTCCACACGTCCACCCAGCACCCCTGCACCCAGTCAGTGTTGGACGCCCTCCTGGGGGAGACCACATGGTGGGACAGGGACAGGGGTCGGCGGGGCGGGTGGGGGGAAGGTCAGTCTCCCGCTGCCACTTGCTCCCAGGGCTGCCCTTCCTGCTGGGAGCCCCCAGCTCATGCCCCACCACCCTGGGGGTCTGCTGGTGGCCTTGACCCCCCGCCCCCCGCTGTCCGTTTCCAGGCCGGGAGTCACCCCGGGCGTCCCCCCTCGACCCCTGGCAGTGTGGCGCTGTGTCCCTGCAGGTGGGCACCCTGAGCTGAGCCCCATGGAGGGGAAAGGGCCTCACCGCATCTACGACCCAGGGGGCAGCGCCGAGGCCTCGGCCGCCCTCGAGCGCCTGACGGAGGAGAACTCCCGCCTGAAGGAGCAACTGCAGGGCATGAGGACACTCGGTAAGGGCCCCCTCCCCCCCACAGCACGGGGCCCTCACCGCCCTCCCTCTCCTCCCCCCCTGCGTGAGGCGCCCCGGGGTGCAGTGGACTGAGCAGCCTGTGCCCCCAGGACAGCTGCTGGGTGAGTCGCAGATGGAGGCCTTGCGGCTGCGGCAGAAGGCAGAGGCCCTGGTGGGGGACAGCCCCCCACTGTCGGCGGCAGCCGAGCCCGCAGGTATGGAGACCCCCGTGCCCTCACGCCCCAGCCCAGCCCGGCCCGGCCCGGCCACAGCCCACTGGCGTCCATGCCCTGCCCCAGGCGGTAGGGTCACAGCCTGAGCCCAGAGGGGGCCTGGCGGTGTGTTACGTCCCTGGGCCTGAGCCAGCCCCTCCGTCCACTCGCACAGTCGGCAGAGGCCACGGGGATGCTGCCTCTCGGGGACCACTGTCCCTGAGGCCCGGTGGTGACAGCTTGGCCTGGCGTCACTGGACAGCCCAGGCTGTGCCTCCCCCTGCTGTCCTGTCTGCAGGAAAGGACGCCGCTGTCCCCACTTGTCCCCCTGACCCCACGCAGCCCAGAGAGACGCCCGAGCTGGCCCCCAGGCCCCCGTCCAGCGTAAGTTGCCGGGTGGAGGGGTCACTCTAGCGACCTGGGCGGGGTTGGTGGTACCCTGGGGGAGGACCCGGATGGAGCTGGGCCCGGGCTGCCCCTACATCCCCGGGTCCCCTGCACCCCTGGAGCACGTCTGAGATCCCGCCTGCCCCCAGGGCTCCTCCTCCGAGTTTGAGCTCGTGGGCCCCGAGGAGCAGAGCCCCCCCGGGGGAGCCTCGTCCGTCCAGGAGCCCGGCGGCCCGGCCAGCGAGAACCTCCAGCTACACCTGCAGCGTCTGGAGAGCGCCCTGAGCGTGTGCGCCCGGGAGCCCGACCACGGCCAGCTCTTCACGCACCTGGGCCGCATGGCGCTCGAGTTCAACCGGCTGGCCGCCAAGGTGCACAGCAACGAGACAAGGACCTCCGCGCTGCAGGTGAGGGGTCCGGGCTGCCGGTGGGGGGTCTGCCCTGCAGGTGGGGGGTCTGCCCTGCAGGTGAGGGGCCCGCCCTGCAGGTGGGGGTCTGCCCTGAAGGTGGGGAGGTCTGTGTTGGGTGGGGGGTCTGCGCTGTAGGTTGGGGGTCTGTCCTACAGATGGCGGGCTGGGTTACAGGTGGGTGGTCTGCGTTGGGTGGGGGGTCCGTGCTGTAGGTGGGGGGGGGGTCTGTGCTGCGGGCAGGGAGTCTGAGCTGCAGGTGAGCGGGGGCATCTGTCCTGTGGGTGAGGGGCGTCCCTGATGCAGGGGAGGGCACAGGGTGTCTTGCTGGGGCCCCTGGGGTGTGGGCTGCTGGCCCAGGCTACAAGAGAGAAAGGACCTGGCCAGTGCAGGGGTGGGGCAGGCTGGGCCCCTTCAGGGACTGGGCCTTTGCCCAAGGCCACCCGGATGGTGGCTGCCACTGTCCCCTCCGGCTGCCCTCCCTGTGGGCTTCCTTCCAGAACCTTCTGCACATGCAGAAGGCTGTCCACTGCCTGGGCCCCAGCAGCACGGCTCTGCCCCCAGTCCCCGACCGGTCCCTGGGCTTTGGCCGTCCAAGTCACGCCCGTGGTGACCCCTTGGACAGGAGCCGAGCCCTGTGTCAGCTTGGTCACCTTCCAGGGCTGGGGCCCCTACCAGCCTCCCTCGCTGGACACCGAGTCTGGGGCTGGGCTGGGCACGGTGGCTCCCCGCCGGCCCCCCTTACCCCCGGGGCCTCCCACAGGCCCTGTGTGAGCAGCTACGGCAGGAGAACCAGGTGCTGAAGGCCAAGCTGGACCAGGGCCTGGAGCAGCGCAGCCAGGCGGCTCAGCAGCTGCGGTGAGGGGGCTGGGGCGGCCGGGGTGGGCTTCCAGCCTGTTGGCCGGTGGTCTTTTGCAGGCTGAGCTGCTGGGACTCTGCCCTGCAGTGCTCCTGTCTTGGGGTGGGGACTGCCCTGCGGTGCCCCTTTTCCTGGGGTGGGGACTCCGCCCTAGAGTGGTCCCCTTGTGGGCTGCCGCCTGCACCTCCCCCGACAGTGGCCGTGGCCCGACTGACCATGGCACACCCTTGGCCACTTGCTCTCAAGCGGCCGCTGAGAAAAGCCCCCGCATGCGGCCACGGGAGCAGAGGCGCCCCCGGCCGCCCGAGCGGGGGTCCCTGTGCCGGGAGCGGGCCGCGGGAAGGCCGTGCTGACCCGGGAACCGACCCCGGCCCACAGGGAGGAGAACGCGGAGCTGAGGCGGCGGCTGGGCGAGGACCCGGAGGGCGGCCCGGCAGCGGCGGCAGCGGCGGGTGGGCGGCAGGTAGGGGGCCAGCCCGGGGGTCCCCGCACGCGGCTGGGGGGGGTGGGGGCGCGAGGCCGGCCGCAGGGGGTCGGCGCCCACAGACCCCTGTGCCCGCAGGCGAAGCCCCCCGAGCTGGGCGCGGCTGAGAAGAAGGTGAAGATGCTGGAGCAGCAGCGCCTGGAGGTGGGTGGGCGCGGGGCGGGGGACGGGGCGGGGGGACGGGGGGGGGACCGAGACCCCCGAGGCCTGGCCGCTGCACGCCCCTGGCCACCCACCGGCCTGCGCCCGCAGCTGCTGGACGTGAACAAGCAGTGGGACCAGCACTTCCGCTCCATGAAGCAGCAGTGCGAGCAGAAGGTAGGGCCGGCCGCCGCCCACGTGACGCGAGCCCCGCCCACCCGCGATGCCCCTCCCACGCGAGGCCCCGCCCCCTGTCGCCCACGTGATGCGCCCCCACCCCGCCCCTGACTCCCCCCCTGCTGCCCACGTGATGCCCTGACCCCCACGTGACAAGCTGCCCCGCCCTGGCATGATGCCCCGCCCCGCCACCCACGTGACGCGACGCCACGCCCCCTCTGCCACGCCCAGGCTGGCCCCGCCCTCTCACGTGCCTGGCTGAGTGCCGGCCCCGCCCCGCTGTTCCCACGCCTGCGCGCGCCCGTGGCAGCTTTCCCCCGCGCGGCCCCGCCCTGCCCCTGCCCACCGGCCGGTCCGCCCTGTGCCCCCCAGATCACCGAGCTGCGCCAGAAGCTGGCGGCCGCGCAGGGCCAGGTGGCCGCGCTGGAGGCCGAGCGCGAACAGAAGCAGCGCGACTTCGACCGCAAACTGCTGCTGGCCAAGTCCAAGATCCAGACCGAGGAGGCAAGCGGGGGCTCGGCCGGGGGTCCCGGACCCCCCGGCTGTGGACCCTGCCCTGACGACCCCCCACCCGCCCACTCGCCACCCCCCTGCGGACCCCTCCCTAAGGGCCCCCGGGCGCCCACCCTCCCTGACGCCCCTGGGCTGCGGACCCCTCCTTAAGGCCCCCCCCTTGGAGGGCCGTGCCCAAGGCCCAGGGCCTCCTACCTCGGTTTCCCGGTTGGCCCCCTTGAGGGTCCCGAGCCTCCTGCACGGGGTGCGGACCGAGAACGGCCCAGCAGGCCCCGCTGCCCGCGCCCTGAGCCGCGCCCTCTCCCACAGACCGACAAGGAGCAGCGCGCGGCCGAGGCCCAGGAGCTGCGGCGCGAGGTCCAGGCGCTGCAGGACCGGCTGGGCCCGCTGACCCTGCAGCGCGACCACCAGGAGCGCGAGATCCAGCGGCTCAACAAGGTAGGCGCCCGCGGCCCTAGGGCTCCCCAGCGCCCGCGGGGGCGACCCCCGGGCCGTGGAGGAACCCGGCCCCCGCGACTCACGCCCCTCGCCCGCAGGCCCTGGAGGAGGCGCTCAGCCTGACCCCCGCCGAGGTGGGCAGCCGCCTCCGGAAGCAGGACCTGGTCACGCAGAACGAGCTGCTCAAGCAGCAGGTGGGCGGCCGCCGGGGCGGGGCGGGGCGGGGCGGGGCGGGGCGGTCCCCGGCCTTACCTGGCCTCCCGCAGGTGAAGATCTTCGAGGAGGACTTCCGGCGGGAGCGCAGTGACCGCGAGCGCATGAACGAGGAGAAGGAGGCGCTCAAGCGCCAGCTGCGCCAGCTGCGGGCCCAGGTGCGCGGCGGGAGCGGGCCGGGGCTGGGGGCGGCCACGTCGGGGTCCGCGCCCTCTGGGAGTCCCCGCCCCCGGGGCGCTGTGCCATTCCCCGGAGTCTCAGTCCCCGCCCCCTCGAATCTCAGTTCCCGCCCCCGGGAGCCTAAGTCCCCGCCCCCGGGGGCTTGTCCTCTCCCTGGGAGTCTCCGTCGTCCCCGCCCCCGGGGGCTTGTCCTGTCCCCGGGAGTCTCCGTCCCCGCCTCCAGGGGCCTGTCCCGTCCCCAGGAGTCACCGTCCCCGCCCCTCGGGGGTCTCCGGCCTCCCCCGGCAGTGCTCGAGCGCCCGTCCTGTCCCGCCGCAGGTGCCCGTGGAGAGCTTCCCGGAGCACTTGTGCGGGGCCTGCCCCTGCCCCTACGTGCACCCGGCCCTGCCCGCGCGCGGCCCGGACGACTGGGCCCAGATCCACTACCCTCCGCCGCCCAACGCCTGCGCCTGCCACACGGTGAGGCCCCTGCCCCTCCCTTCGCTGTTCCTGTTCCCCCGGGGGGGTGGGAGGGGGGCACCGCGCACCGCCCTCTCCTGACCTGTGCCCGGGCATCTTCTCTGGAAGGAGCACCCCTGGCGGCCAGTATGCACCAGGCCACACCACCACACCCCGCAGGCGCCGGCCTCCCCCCCTGCCCAGCCCGCAGACCCAGGTGAGGAGCCCGGGAGGTGGCAGAGGCCAGCCAAGAGCCCCCCAAGTAGTCCACTGGGAGGGGCGGCCGTGGGAGGGAGGAGCTTCCTGGGGCAGCCCTTCCTAAGTCCCCGCCCCCGAGGGCCTGCCCTGTCCCTGGGAGTCTCAGTCTCCACCCCCGGGGGCTTGTCCTGTCCCCGCCCCGTCTGCGCCTCCTCGCAGGGCAAGGGCTGAGCCACTGGGCCTGGTGGGTGCGCTCGGGTCTCCCTGGAAGGCCTCGCAGCGTGTGTTCATTGACTGTCCACACAGAATGACCTGGAGGAGCCTTAGCGAGACGGTGTCGGAGCCGCTGACTGCCCGTCACTGCAGCGTGTGCAAAAGGCCCGGCCGGGGGGAGGTGCCCCCCGGCCGCCCGTCGAGGGAGTGGGCTGCCAGCCGACCCTGCCAACACGCCCAGGGCAAATGCCCGTCCGTGCCTCTGCCTTCTGCTTCAGCTGTAGCCCGGGACCCCGCGGGGCTGGACGCGGTCACAGCATCCAGCCGCCGTGGGCCTTGGCAGAGCCCGGGGCTGGGCCGGGCTTGCGCTGCCCGGCAACTGTTTGCACAGATCTTGAACATAAACCCAACCGTGAAGGACAGCGCTGGGTCTGCTGCTTTGCGTGTGGGGGCGGGGGGGGGGGGTGCCGCGCGTGAAGCAGGTGCCCCGGGCCCCGTGGCGGGGGATTTGGTCCCTCCGACAGCCCAGGCTGGTCCCTCCGAGCCCCTCTGCCGGCCAGCAAGGAAGCACACGGAGGCGGGCTGCTGCAAAGGCCTTTACTGGGGGTGGGGGGTGGGAGCAGGCCAGGGGCCGCGGGAAAGGCGGGTTCTGGGGCGGCATCGACCGCCTGTGGCTCGGCCTGAATGCACAAGGGCCGGCGGCAGACGGGCTCGGGGGAGGCCCGCCCGGAGGCTTCGGGCCCCGCCGTCATGGAGATGCGCCCCGGGACCTGGCCTTCCCGCGCGGCTGTCACCCTGGCTGCTCTGGGGGTCACGGCTGGGTGGGGAACAGGCGGGTTGGGCAGTGGCAGCCGGAGAAGAGAAGGGGTCCTCCCTGAGCGGCCTCGGACCGCTACTTCCTGGCGCCCGGGGCCTCCAGCCGCTTCATGTAGGCCAGCACGTCCGCCTTGACGGTGCTGACCGGGGTGCGGTGGTGCCAGCGCATGACGGGCACGCCGGTGGGCCCCACCAGGAACTTCTCGAAGTTCCAGCGGATGTCGTGGACCTTCATGGGCTCCCAGAAGAGGCGGGCGGGCTGGCCCAGCAGCTCCGAGGTGGGCGGGCAGGCGTTCTGGGGGTCAGGGAAGGCGTGAGCCGGCCGCGTCCCGGGTGCCCCCACCCCGCCCCCGCCCCGCCCCGCCGGCCCCTCACCTTGAGGAAGGTGAACACCTTCTGCTCCTTGTCCCCGTTCACGTCCCCCTTCTCAAAGAGCTGGAACTTGGGGACAAAGCCGCCGCCAGGCCGGACGTGCCTGCAAGGGGGTCCCGCGTCACACCCTGCAGGCCCCCGGGGGTCCCCCTCCCCCACCCGGGCCGGCTGGGGCGGGGCTCACTTGAGGGTGGCCAGGATCTCCGAGTTCTCCCCCGGCTCCTGCTTTCCGAATTGGTTGGAGGGGAAGCCCAGGATGACCAGGCCCGAGGGCTCCAGCTCCTCCTGCAGTGCATTCAGCTCTGCGCAGAGAGGGTAGGCGGTGGCAGGGGTCCCGCCCGCTCTGCGCCCCCCCCACTATCCGGGCGCCCCACCCCGCCCACACGCGCAGCCGCAGTTCCCGGCGCAACCCCCTCCCCACTGCCGGGCCGCGCCGCGGGGCCTTACCGACGTACTGGCCCGTCAGGCCTCAGTAGCTGGCCACGTTGACGAAGAGAACGTGCTTGCCCGCGTAGTTCTTGAAGGGGATGTACTCCTGGCCGTCGATGGCCAGGGCCCCGTAGTCGTAGATGGACCCGGTCACCCCGTCATGGCAGTCCACCTGCAGGGGCGCCTGGCGTCACACGGGCCTGCCCACCCCGCGCACCCCCAGGCCCCAGGCAGCTGCAGCACGCGGGCCCTTGACCTGTCCTGAGCGCCCCAAGGTGCTGGCTGGCCTGCGGGGGGCCTACTGTGGGCACATGGACACTCGTTCCGGTGCGGGTGGCTGCACTGCTGGGTGGGCGTGGGGACAGGCGGGTCACTGCGGGTGACCGGGGTGACCCAGAGCTGTGGCCACGGCCGCACGCCCTCGAACAGACTGGGTTTGGGCCTCTCCTGCAGTGCCCAGGGCAGGGTGGGGTGGCCCTCGGCGTCCGCAGCGGGGGTCTGTCCATGCACAGGGGCCAGCCAGCCTGTCCTGTGGCCCTTCCCTGGACAGCAGCTCCCAGGAGGAGCGAGGGACTGGGGTGGGCAGGAGGGCAGCTTTGCTGAGTGAGCAGGAAGAGCCGCCTCCACCTGGAAGCCCTCGGACTCCAGGCCAGCCTCACCCCTGGCATCCCCTTCCTCCCAGCCCTGCTCCTGGGGGCATTCAGGCGAGTCCACCCCCAAATGCAAACAAGCCGGCAGCCGAAGCCTCCAACCCCCACCCAGGGAGGAGACTGACACGCAGACGGATGGACAGACGCCGGACCTCCCATCCTGCTGCGAGTGGCCCCGGGCAGGGCACTCCTCCCTCTGAAGTCGCTGGGGCCTGCCTGTGGGGGGCACGCGGCACTGACCGGGGCCTCCTGCGGGCCCCTCCCGGCACGGGCGTCAGGCGTTCACCTGGCTCGACTACCCACACTGCCCTTCCCCCGGGGGCCAGGGCGTGCCTCACTGTCCTTCCCAGCAAGTCCGAGCTGGCCATCGGAAAAGATCACCTCACCTCTCGGACCCGCCTCTCCCTCACCCCTCAGCCGAACTGGGTGTCCACGGCCGTCCACACCGGCCAGCACCTGAGCAGGGCTGAGGCTGCGGGCGGGCCGTCCTGAGGGGGCCTGGACCCTGGTTCAGGGGGCCGGCAGGGCAGAGGCCAGGGAGGGGCCACTCCTCACCCCACTCCAGGCTGGTCTCCAGAGTGGACGGGAGAGGCTTCAGTCCAGGGCGGAGAGGCAGAGACAGAGAAGGACCCCGCCGCTGTCACAGAGGCCCCTGGGCCATGGCGGGGTCATGGGGAGAATCGGGTACGCAGGACCCCAGAGCCGGGAACAGGCCCGAGGGGCAGACACAGAGCCTAAGCTCACAGAAGCTTGTGTGCGCAGGTGTGCATGTGTGCATGTCTGTGTGTGCATGTGTGTGCAGGTATGTGTGTATGTGCATGCCTGTGTGAGCATGTCTGTGTGGGGGGCCGGCACCAACCTCTCCGCAGGCCTTTGCCCAGGAGACCTGGCAGGACCACGGGGCAGGAGTCCAGGAGAGGCGCGGTGGGTGGCCTGCAGAGGCCAGCGTAGGAGTGGGCCCAGCCCCGTGCTCTTCCCATCACCCAGGGGTGCCCGGGAGCCGGCGCTCACACCCGCAGCAACTCTCTTGGGTGGGGGACGGGGCTCTGGAGGAAACGGCACCTACAGCCCCCGACTCCCCGCTGGGGGCGGCCCGGAGCACCTGGAGGAAGGTTCAGGCATGGGGCACCCACAGGGGCAGAGAGAGTGGCCCGCCATAGGTGAGCGGGTGGGAGGCACTCACCTTGGAGTCCTGCCCCCGGACAAGGCCCGAGAGCAGCAGCGGAAGGAGGCAGGTCGCAGAGAACAGCCGGGCCATGGCTGGCAGGGGGCGCCGTCCCTCTGTCCCTCCAGAGTCCTTGTCCTGTCTGCGGCGGCCCCAGGGCCCCGGGTCCCTTTCAGGCGCCCGCGGTGACCAATCGGCGGCCGGCCAGGGTCCTGCAGCCAATGGCGGGCGGCTGAGCTTCTGGCTCGGGGCCTGGTCCCGCCCGGCCGGCCACTCGGCCACTCTGGCAGGAGAGGGTGGGGGAATCCAGCCGCCTCCCGCTCACTCCCCTACCCTCTGCCCTCGGACGGACGCAAGTGAGCCAAAACCACTTTCCAGAACCTTCACCCGGGCCGGTGTCCCGGCTGGTGACGGGGAGATGACAGCACAGCCTGCGAGGAGAGTCCCTGGCTCCCTGGCTGCACACAGCAGGCGCTTAATGCCTGCACTACCCAGCTCACACGTTGGGGGGGAGGCGGGTAGGAGCAGGTCCCATCCACAGGTGGGGGAGGAGCCGGGCCTGGACCTCCCAGAGGCCTCTGGAAGCTTCTAGGGCACGGTCCTGGGGCCCGAGACAGGCTAAGACTGCCCCCAACTTGTTCCAAGGTGGCCGTGAAGCCGCCAAGTGGACAGGGGTGGGTGGGAGGGGGCATGGTCTGTCCACTCTCGGGCAAGGCCTCTGAGCACTGCTGGCAAGCTGGGCAGGAAGACGTTCGAAGAGATCAAGTCAGAAGCATGTGACGGGCTGACGACGTGTGCCCTGGGGCTGCAGACTCACGGGGCTCCCTGACGCCAGCAGATGGGCTCAGCCGCGGGCAGCGGACACTGACGGGCCTGAAGTGCCCCCCGGACTCCAGGCTCGGCCACCTCTGCCATCCGTGCCCACTGCTCCGAGTCACAAGCACATGCCTGCCGGGCTCAGGGCTCTGGGCCTTCCGCCTCTGGGCACCCCTGAGGGGGCTCAGCAGGAGGCAGAGGCCGCCCCTGGCTGGGTCCCTCGGTCACAGGAGTACACTCCCAGGGCACTCCGGAGGGGCAGCGCTGCCCATGCACGTGACCTCGAAGCCCGCATTCTGAGCAACGCAGGCCTCCACCAAGCGAGGCCTGCATCCCGCGGACAGGGCTGCGGGCGCCCGGCCTGCCCTGGGCCTTTTTCAGCTGACCTTGTTTTCTCTCCGCTGGGCTCCCCGCACCCGCCCTCCGACCTCAGGGCCCTTCTTGGAGGCTTGGCCTCCCTTTCCACGTCCTACGCCACCAGCCACGTCCCCCCATCTCCCTGCCCAGAGCCGCAAGGCCGCAGGTGCTCAGGAGTGGGGAAGGTGGGCAGGCCCCCGCCCCGCAGAGGACAGAAGCCAGCAAGAGGGGCCAGGCCAACGCGTGAAGATGACACGGACACGCGGCCTCCTCAGACCCCGCTGGACACGCATAGGCCGCTGCCCACGGACACCAGCCCTGGGCAGCAGGGGCAAGGGCAGGCCGCCGGCCACCGCTGGTGACGGAGTGCTGGACGGGGGCCGGGGTCGGCCAGCGAAGGGAGCCCAGCCAAGCCCAGACAGCGGCTGTTTCGCAATCGAAAGAATTGCAGGACCGACGGGCTGGCGCTGCCGTCCCAAACAGCGGGCGGGTGCCAGAGTCCGCAGGGACGGTCCCTCGGGAGGCGGCGGCCTGGACACAGCGCCCGTCCCCCCCGGAGGGTCGAGGGCCCAGCCAGGCCTCCACCACTGCTGGGTCTCCTGGACACGGCTCAGACGGACCCTTGACGGACGCTCCTGAGCTCCTGACCCCCCTCTGGCAGGCGAATGAACCGACCAGGAAGGCCGCCCCCCCGGCGGTGGCAGCGGGGGTAGGGGGCGGCACCCCGTGCGTGCGTGGGGGGGGGCCGTGGGCCTGACCCCCACACCGGTTACTGAAGGCGGATGCAAAGAATGTGGAAAACTGGGCCGGAGCCACAGCACAGCAGAGAGAGCGTTTGCCTCGCAAGCGGCCAACCGGGTTCCGTCCCTCGTATCCCTAGGGTCCATCCCCCCCCCCACCGCCACCACCAGGAGGGATTCCTGAGGCAGAGCCAGGAGTAACCCCTGCTACTTGCCAGCTGTGGCCCCAAAGCAAAACAAACAAAAGGAGTAAAAATTGCCCAATACGTATCCGGGCGCGATGTTGAAACGTGGATACTTTAGTATCTTGGGTTAAAGACATAATACCCCGAGGTTAGCTTATTTCCTGGCAGCTTAGGGAACGGCTTAGAGGCCCTGAGTGGGACGTGCGTGCCTGCGTGCGTGTGTGCGCGCGAGCATGTGTGCGTGTGTGTGTATGTGCATGTGTGCGCGCGGCTGCCCCTGGCCCGCTGTGCCAGCTGTCCACAGCCACGTGGACTTGGGGCCAGGGCGGCAGCCCCAGCGGCACTGGGTCCGGGGCACAGGCTGGGGCGAGTCGGCCGCTCTGCCCCCAGCTCTGCCGGCCTCTGTCCTGTGCGGGGCAGAGGTCAGGGGAAGTCGAGAGATAAGGCCGAGGCCAGCCAGGCCGGCCAGGCGCACAGGCCAGGGGGCGGCCTTGCCCTTTGCCCGCTGCACACGCCCACCCGGTCACTCCTGCGCCCTCCCCGCCGCGCCCCGCTCGTGTCCCTCCTGGGTGCAACGGAGGCCGGACACGTCGCACGGCTTTCTGAAAGGCCCTGGCGAGCGCCCACGGAGGCAGCCCACGGCTCCGGGAGGAGGGGGCTGAGGACGGGAGAGCAAGGGGCACACAGGCAGGGGGTTGCTGCTCCCAGCGCAAGGGCGGGCTGGACCTGACAGCTCTGGCCCTCTCTTTCTCTCGGGCCCGGTATAATAGCCCGGCCCTCACAGCCGACTAGAGCGTTCTGGCACTGGGGGCAGAACCAGTGCGCTGTGGTGCCCTGCCCGCTGGCCTCTGACGCTGACCCGGCCTGTCCAGGCGTGCCCGGCACGAGCCCTGGCTGGGTGGGCCGAAAGCAGCTCAGGCCTCCCTGACCGGCAGTCAGAAACTGCTTTTATCGTGGCTTTCGGGCCACACCCAGCAGTGCTCGGGGCTGACTCCGGACTGCGCTCAGGAACCAAACGCCCTCCCCGCTGCGCCATCACTCGGCCCCGAAAACGTCACTGTAGTGATTTATCTGCTGCGACAGTTGATCCACAGCCAGACTGTGATCCAAGGTCACTCCGAGCTCTCGGCTGAGCTTGCTCTTGGCAGGGAGCGGGGCCGCGGGACACCCTGACTCCCAGCCCGGCTCATCCCCACTCCAGACCGGGCGCCAGGGCCCGAGGGGCCCGTCCCCAACTGCTGGAGAGGTGGGGAGCCCAGGGCTGTGCCCTGCCGGCAGCCACAGGGTCCACCTGCCTCAGAGCTCGGAGGGCCCCTCTCGGTCCTTCTGTGGGCTCAGGGGCCTTGCTGTGGCCTGGACAGCTCAGCCACCACAACCGCAATGCCCCCCGGAGCAGTCACCGCCCGTGGCGCCCCGTCCCTCCCTGCACTGCGACAGGCAGACACGGCACTCTCTCAGGGCTGCGTCCTGGGCACCTCCGGGCTCCTTTTCTGGGACTCACCCCAGGACAGGCAGTTGCAGAGCTCCGCCCCGCCGGTCCTGCAGCTCACACAGCCCCTGGAGAGGGAGTTACGGCAGGGAAGGCAGCGGCTCAGAGGGGCAGACGCCTGGCTGGGGGAGTGCCCACTCCCATCTCAGGCCGGGCTGGGCTGGGCTGGGCAGTGCAGCGGCAGGCGTTTGCCTTGCACGTGGCCAACGCAGGTTTGATCCCGGGATCCCGGGGCCCCCAGCTGCCAGGAGCAACCTGAGCACCGGGTGTGGCAAAACCCCAGAACACAAGTCACACAGCAACGCTCAGGGGGCCTGGGGCCACGGAACAGGGGCGGCCCGAGCGGCCCTGAACCCACCCCCTCCCCTCCAAGCCCCAGTCAGGAGTGCCTGGGGGTGGCTGCCAACGCTGGAGCGGGGTCGGGGTGAGCCATGTGTGAGAAGTGCCTGCGTGCACGTCGCCCTAACAGGGAAACTGAGGCAGAGAAAAGACCGGCCCTAATGCACGCTGGGATCAGGGGGGCCAGCTGTGGGCCTGGCCCCGAGACCCAGGGTTTACGGGAAGCCTCAGCACTCAGGCAGCGTGACCTCCTGGCAGGTGGCCGTCGGCTGGCCGCTCGGTCAACAGCCCACGTACTGACCAGGACTCAGGAAGCAGATTTATCTCTGGGCACGGGCCAGATGGGCAGCGCTGTGGGCGGGTCATGGCCGGAGGGCCCGCCCCGAGTTTGGCCTCTCTGGGAGTGACTCATGCGGCCCTCTGTAATGAGCTCTGGGAATGACGTCGTCGGCGCCAGGGGAGCTCAGACTGACCGCCTGGGCCCAGGGCGCCCTCTGTCCCCAGAGGGCATTCGTGCCCGATGTGCCCGCTGGCCGCCAGCCCTTGTGCGAGCTCCCAGCCCAGGCTGCCTGGTGGGGTTTGGGCCGTGGGCAGAACCAGGCACCCAGGCACCAGGGGACAGAGCTGGAGGCAGCTCACGGTGTCCCCTGCCCTCTGCAGACACACGGGCACATCTCACTGCATGGCAGGCGGCCGGAGGGCTCTAGCAGGTCCGACACGGAAAAGTGACACAGGCGTTCCCAGGCCCATCCACTGGCTCCCCCAGCGTCTGGGGTGCTCCTGGCCAGGACCCCACCAGGTCTGTCTCTCCCCTTTTCGCTTCCGTCCTTCCACTGAACCTTTTGGGTTTCTGAGCCACACCTGGTGGTGCTCAGGGCGAATTCCTGTTTCTGTGTTCAGGGGAGCTTAAAGGGTGCCAGAGATGGAACCTGGGTTGGCAGCGCCCTCTGCCCATGCGACCTGTACTACAACTGCAGCCCCCGAATATTTTTTTTTGGGGGGGGGTCACACCCAGTGATGCACAGGGGTTACTCCTGGCTCTGCACTCAGGAATTACTCCTGGTGGTGCCCTATGGGATGCTGAGGACTGAACCCGGGTCGGCCACGTGCAAGGCAAACGCCCTCCCCACTGTGATATGGCGCCAGGCCCCTCGAACCTCTTTTTGATAGCCGAAAGTCTGTCACGGCAGGACCATGGGCCCTCACGTGTGGCCCGGGGATGCGGCGTATCCACTGCCCGCCCTCCAGTGGCTATGTCCTTCCCCTGGGCGCGGGGCGCTCTGTGACTGGGAGGGGGGCACCGCGTGGCAGCCTCCATGCCTGGCCAAGCACCGAGACCCAACCCTGTGGGCTGTGGTGGGCACCTGCCGCCCCCCCCCCCCGCCAGTCCCGGCTCTGACACGATGGTGACAGACAACAACCTTTATTCACGCGAGAACTGTCCTCCTGACACGGCCGGATCCTGGGCGGGGGCTGTGCCCGGGTGCCCCCGCACGCCGCGTCCAACTCTGGTCCCCTTAACCCGCACGTGTTCGCCGCGCCCTCCCTATGACCCCGGGCGCCCGAGGACCCCGCACCTCTAGACGCTGGGCATCGCGGCAGCGCCCCAGGCCCGGGCGGGCTGGCGGGCCTGTGGGAGCGGCTCGGGGAGGAGGGCCCGGGGCACCCGAGGGTCCTGGGCAGCCCCCGTCACTGGGGGGCCAGAGCGTCCCCGGGCCCACACTTGGGCCTGCAGATGGTCATGGGGGTCGGGCTGCTGGACAGCGGGGAGAAGAGGGGCCGCAGCACCTCCGAGAAGGACGTCTCAGGGAAGGCGTACAGGAGCGACCCGTCGGTCACGCTGTAGAACGACAAGTGTCCCGCCTCGTAGTCCAGGAAGACACCCACGCGCCGCGGCGGGTCCCTGAGCGGCGAGAAGGCGCGTTCGGTGGAGCCGGAGCAGCCGCCCAGGAAGGCCAGGACCCAGAAGCCGTTGCCAGCAAACAGCTCGCCCCGCTCCTTGCGGTCGGCATCCTCCCTGCAGACGCCCAGCGCCCAGCTGGCCCGGTCCCCCACCTCCACCTCCCAGTAGTGGCGGCCGGCGCTCAGCTGCTCGCGGCCCAGCACGCAGGGCCCGGGGTCGAAGCGCGCGGGGCTGTCGGGCAGGGCCTGGCGCAGCTCCCCCCGCCGCACGCTCCTCCCGTCCTCCGACAGCACCAGCTCGGGGTTGGCCGTGTCCGCGTCCAGGGTTACGTCCCCTGCAGACAGAGCCCAGGGTTAGCCCCGGCCGGCACGCGGGGGCCTGGCGCCGCGGGCCGGAAACCCGCTTTCCACGGCGGGAAATCGCAGCGCGGGGCGTGCCAGAAGGCGGCCCGTGGTTTCTACGTTCGCTCGGTCCAGGGCGCTGCGCAGACACCCACCTCGGAAGCGGCGCAGGACCTCGAGCAGCCCCGGGACCCGGCACACGGTCCGCATCTCCATGGGCACCACCTCAGGCGGCTGCAGCTTGAGATCCTGGACCCTGCGGGGGCAGCGGCCGTCACGCCCGTCCCCGCCTGCCCCCGCCCCGGGCGGCCGGGCGCCTACCTGCACAGCGTGTCCCTCACGTCCTGCGGGAGAGACGCGCGTCAGTGGCCGGTGGGCTGCGGCCCGCCCCCAGTCCGCCCGCGGCCCACCCCCCCCACGCCAGCCGGAGCCTCTGGGGGCCACAGCGACTGGCCCCCAAGACAGCCGGGCTGCACCCAGGGAGGGCAGAGGCCAGTGAAGTGGCCGCGCGGGGCTCGGCCCCCGCCCTCCTGCCCAGCCCGCCCGCCCACGGCCGGCGAGGGCCCCCGCCGGGCTCACCTGCAGCAGGCCCAGGGCGGGCAGCCGGCAGCGCCCCTCGAGCTCCGCCACGAGCTGCGCCAGCTGCGCGCTCTGCTGGCCCAGGCGGGCCGCGCTCTCCCGCAGGGGGGGCAGCGCCTCCAGCTCCTCCTCCTCCAGGGCCCGCAGCAGCCGCCGCTCCTCCTCGGCCAGCAGGTGGCGCAGCCGCTCAAACTCCCCCACCACGTTCTGCCGCTGGCTCTCGATCATCTTCTGCGGGGCGCAGGGGCGTCACCTGCTGCCGCCTGTCCCCCCGCCCCACGCGTGCCACGGGTCAGGGACCCCACGTGGTGAAGAACCCCTTAGGTCAGGCCCCCAGGGTCAGGGTCAACCCCAGGGTCAGCGCCCCCAGGGTCAGGTCCTCCCCAGGGTAAGGTCCCCGTCGTTTCCCCCCCAAGGGTGAGACCCCCCCCAGGTCAGGGCCTCCAGGGGCAGGGCCCCCCAGGGTCTGGCCCCCCCCAGAGTCAGTCAGGATCGCACCCCAGGGACGCCCCCCCAGGGTCAGGCCCCCCCATGATCAGGGTCTCCCCCAGGGTCCGACCCCCAGGGCCCCTGCCCCACGTGCCTGCCATAGGGTCAGGGTCTCCTCGGCCTGGGCCTGGAACAGCAGCGCGTCCTCCATCTGCTTCCGTAGGTGCTCCAGAGACTTTTGCAGCGTCCCCTGCGGGGTAGAGGGCAGGTGAACCCAGGAACAGGGACCATCCAACCACAGTGACCCCACTGCCCTCGCCCAGCTGAAGCCCCCCAGCGGACAGGAGCCGCCCGGGCGTGACAGTGGGAGGGACCTGCCCCACACGGGCACTGGCCCCACCAGAGGCCTCTGCCCAGCCCAGGCTATGCGCACGCATGTTCTGGCCCTGCAGAGTGGCCAGCACGGTCACCCGTCCCTCGGCCCTCTTCAGGCTGGGGCCTCCCAGTGGCACCAACGCGAAACTCCGCAGCCAGCCCAACTGAGGCACTGAGGGCAGGAGGGTCTGAGGGTCTGAGGGTCTCAGAGTGACCGAGCCTGGAGGGCAGGGGGTGGACGCCACAGGCCCTCAGCACCAACCATGCATTTCTGTGTCCCAGCTGCACCGCGGAAGCCCAGGGGCTGCCCTGCACCAGACGAGGCCACTAAGACATCAGGGTCACTGAGGCCTCATCCCTCCTGCACCCACTGGGTGGCCACTCGTGACCAGCAGGGCCCTCCCTGTGCCTTTGAGAGAACAGGGCAGGAGTGGACGTGCCCGCCTGTCCCCTGGCGCTGGCAGGAACAGGACAGGGATCGCCCTCCATGGGCGGCCGGAGTATCTCCCTTCAGTGGGGTGACTAAAGGCAGCTATCCCTGACCCCGAGGGAAAAGTCAGGCCCTGCACCGTGACACGATGGGACACGATGTAATGAAGACGCCAGATACAAGGACACGGATGCAGCCAAAGGAGAGTCAAGAGAAGCTGGGGCCAGGGGCAGCCCAGCAGCAGGGCACCTGCCTTGCACACAGCTCACCCACAGGGTCCTGAGCTCTCCAGGGGGGATCCCCGATGCGGAGTCCCGAACAGCTCCAGATGTGCCCTGTAGGGTGGCCAGCAGGGTCACCCATCCCAAGGCAAGGCAAGCACTTGTCAGGAGAGAAAAGAGTCCAAGCAACAAACAGCTAGAAGAGGCCACCAAAGGGGGCCAAGGGGAGCCAGGGAACAACGGGCAGAGGCCTGGGGGACGGGCTGGCCACCGGGGCACACCCTCAGCTCCACGGGCTGCCTGGGCCCCGCCAGGAGTGGTCCCGTGCAGCAGAGCGGGAGGAAGCCCTGAGCATCACAGGGCGTGCCCCCCAAACCAAACCAACACATACGCCAGCAGAAATTAAGGAAATGTAAATTTAACAGACGATGCAAAAAAATCAACAAAACCAAAAGCTGATATTTTTTCCCTTCCCTTTTTGTTTTTTGAGTCACACCTGGGGATGCCTGAGGCTGACTCCCAATTTTGGCTCGAGGGTCACTCCTGGGGGACTGGGGGGCGGGGGGCTAGGGATCGAAGCTGGGTTGGCTGCGGCCACGACAAGCGTCACACCAGACGTACTATTGCTAAAGCCCCAAGAGCAGATTTTTTTTTTTGAAAGAGTAAAAGATTGACAAACTATTAATGAGACTCCCAGAGAATGACAGAAGACAAACCAAACTTGAAAAAAAAAAACAAAAAACGGCGATTATCTTAACAAAGAAACCCAAAATGTCTCACTGGGGATTATTTTGAAAATCTTTATGCCATGAAACTGGAGAATGGGGGGGGGGGGAAGGGATAGACTCTGGGGGGAAAGGGAGTTTACTGAGCTCTTTCGAACCTTGAGAGAAAATCTGTTCCCAATCCTCTCGGGCTCTTCCAGAGAGTCGGAGACACAGGAAGCCTGCCAGCGTCTATGAGGCAAACGTCACGCTGACACCAAAACCAGAGCCCTGAAGCCCTGAGCCCTGTACCCTGATGAGCAGAGATGCTTACCAGACTTTAGCAAACCAGACCCCGCGGTCATCAGAGGCATCGGACACCAAGCAGGGCTCACCAGGGGTGCAGAATGCCCCGCACGTGGCCAGCACGGGTTCAATCCCTGGCAGCCCAGATGGTCCCCCAAGCACTGCTAGGAGTCAGCCCTGAGCACCACCGTTACCCAGCTATGGGAAAGACGAAATCACGCCATTTGCTGCTACGTGGGCAGATCTGGAGAGCTCCGTGCCGAACGGAGTCAGGCAGAGGAGAGGGCCAGACAGAATCTCTCATGGAAACAAACATGGCCAGCGGGTCTGATTGCCGGCACCCGCGCAGTCCCCCAAGCCCCTCCAGGATAGAACCCGGAGTGCAGAGCCAGGAGTCAGTCCTGAGCATGGCAGAGACTGCTTGTCAGACACCACTGCGGGCCAGGGCCCAGGCTGTGCCCAAGGGGGTCCACAGCTCCGTCTCTGGCATCACCCAATCCTGAGACTCGCAGAGAATCGCGAAAGCCCGCAATAGCCCAAATAACTGAGAGCAAGAATGAGGCATCACACTCCCTGCCTCAAACGGTGCCGGAGGAAAGCAAGAGGCCGGCGTGTCCCTGAGAAACACCGGCCACAGGCTGTGCACGGACCAGTAGGAGCCCCAGCAAAGCACAGGGGCTCGCGGGCCTGAGCACTGGCCGGTGGGTCCCCCAGAGGGAAATGCCCTACACCCCCAGGGCCCCAGCATGCCCCAGACTAGGCATCGGGGAAGGGCATGGACGCTCATCTGGAAGGTGCCCAGTTGCCCAGCACGGCCCTACAGCCCAAGACAGCCCTGCCCACTGGCCAATACTGCCAGGTAGTTGCCCAGAGGGTGGGACCGTCAGTGCCACTGCGGGAAGAACACGGCCCCTCCCCACGCGCTTAAGCAGACCAAAAGATGGGTCAGGGCCCGAGTGACAGGACAGCAGGGAAGGCAACCCCCCTGGGTTTCTGGGTTTCATCCCTGGCCCCCAGAGTCCTCTGAGCCCGCCGAGAGGGACCCCCGAGCATCGTTGGGTGTGGCCCAAACCAAAACCAAAGCCCAAGAGAGGAAAGCAGAAAGTCAGATATACCACCAGCTAGTCCTCAGGAAGGTCACCAGCCGCACAAGGCGAGCCTCTTCAGAGCGGGTGCCGGGAAGACCAGGTCAGACCCCAAATCACACCAAGTCAACTCAACTGGACCAATGACCTCGATACCAGACTGGAATCTACCAGTGACAGCGAGGGAAGCCGGCCGCCCCTCCTGGGACTGCGGGGCCTCCCTGTGCCACTGGCCACACAGACAAATGCGACGCGAAATCAAGCAGCGTCTGTACCACAAAACAACAACAATCAGGCTGAAAAAAAAAAAGGCAACCCCCCCAAAAAAATAAGTGAAAAATCAAAAGGCACCCCCAGACTGAGTGGCAGAGGACATTCGCCCACTACTCAAGGGCTGATGTCCGAGCTAGCCGAGGCGCCTGTAAAACCACAAACAGCAACACCCAATCAAACCGACCTCCAGGGTCGGTGCCCAGCACCCCAGAGGGCCCCGGGCAATCAGGGTAAGTCCCGAGCACCATCGGTTGTGGCCCTGAGACCAAAATAAATAAGTCAAGCACTAAAAAAGAAGACATACAGCTGAGCAACAGCAAACGATCACCAGGGAAATGCAAATTGGAGCAACCACCGCCGACTGGGGTCTGGCAGTGAGGAAGGAGGAAGCCACCGGTACTAGGCCCCAAGGCCAGTGGGATCGGGGTCAGCGGGAAGGCTCCCACGGGGAGGACAGGTGAGCGCTGGTGCTGACAGGTGAGTGTGGGGGAAACACCCTCTCTCCTGTGGGTCCCGGGCACACACCAGCCCGGCGGCAGGGCAGCTGGGACGGACAGCCCTGCCATGACTGGCCAGACTCCATCCCTGGCCCCATCACGGTCCCCTGAGCACTGTCCGGAGTGATCCCTGGGCCCAGAGCCGGAAAAAGACACAGAAAGAAACGTGGTGGGACTGGGGGCCAGGGGGATGGGGCAGTGGGGAGGGTGGGGGCAGGGGGTGTTTGCCCGACAGGAGCGGGGCCCGGAGCACAGGGGGTGGGGGGTGGATGGGCCTGGCATCTGAGGGGGGACCAGCGGATGCTGACCTGGCGCAGAGGGACCCGCAGACTGGGGGAACGAGGCCAGCAAGCGCTTGGCCTCCACTGACGCAGAGGCCCCAGCGGCCCCTGGCCCCTGCCCAGGGGGCGCCCGGAACCCCTCCTGAGGGTTGCGGACTCCCTCCCTCGGGGCGACGCCGCACCCCCGCCCAGCCCAGCACGGACCCCCACGCGAGGGCAGGCCAGACCCCCGGCTGAACTCCCCGGCTTGGCTTCACACTGCGGTGGGCTCCGGCCCGTGGGGACCGCCAGGCGCCGCGACCCCCACCCCCCGTCTCCCGGGAGACCCCGGCCGCTCCGAACGCCGCGGCCCCCGCCGCCCGGAGACCCCCGAGTCGGATCCCGGGACCTGTCCCCTGGCCGCCCCGAGATCCCCGCGGCCCGAACGCCGCCTCCCCTCCCCCCCGGTGTCCCAAGACCCCCGCCCCGGCCTCCCCGGGACCCGCCGAAAAAGACAACCCCCCCCCCGCTCCGGGACAAGACCCCCGTCCACCTGCAGCTCGTCGGCTGCCCCCGCCCCCCTGCAGTTCGTGCGCCGCCCCCCCGCCCCCCCGCAGCTCATCGGCCGCCCCCCGCCCCCCCGCAGCTCGTCGGCCGCCCCCGCCCCCCCGCAGCTCGTCGGCCGTCCCGCCCCCCCGCCCCCCTGCAGCTCGTCGGCCGCCCCCGCCCCCGCGCCCCCCGCCCACCTGCAGCTCGTCGGCCGCCTCCTGCAGCGGCCGCACGCGGTGGCCGCGGTGGCCGCCCGCGCGCTCGCACGCGCCGCACAGCAGGCGCAGCTCGTCGGCGCAGAAGGCGGCCAGCGGCTCGCGGTGCGCGGGGCAGGCGCCCTGGGGCACGGGCGAGGGCGGCCGCAGGCGCCGGGCCAGCTCGGCCATCTTGGCCAGCGGGCGGTTGGGCCGCAGCGAGCGCTGGGCCGAGGGCGCGCGGCACTCGGGGCAGGCGTAGGGGCCCTCGGGCCGGCCCCAGCAGCGCCGCAGGCACTCGCGGCAGAAGTTGTGGCCGCAGTCGGTCATCACCGGGTCGGTGAAGTAGTCCAGGCAGATGGCGCAGGTGGCCTCCTCCTGGAGGTTGGTGGACAGGTCGGGGGCGGCCATGGCGCGGGGGGCGCGGGCGCGGCGCGGCGGAAGCGGCCGCGGGGCGACGCGCGCCCGCCCCGGCCGGCCCCGATTGGCCGCCGCCGCCCACGTGCCCGCGGAAGCGCCGCCGGTGCCGCTCCGGCCGCCGCCGCGCGCCCGCCGCCCTTTGGTTCCGCCCCGGCCCGCGCCTGAGGACGCTGGGCGGGGCCGCGCGCGGCGGGGCGAGGGGCCGGGCGAGGGGTCGCTGGTCGCCAGACTCTGGGCGCCGGGCGGGGGGCGCTGGGCGAGGGGCGCGCTGGTCGCCAGACTCTGGGCGCTGGGCGAGGGGTGCACTAGGCGCTGGGCGAGGGGCGCACTGGACGCTGGACGAGGGCCGAGCTGGACACCGGGCGAGGGGCGCAAGGCGAGGGCTGCGCTGGTCGTCAGACTCTGGGCGCTGGGCAAGGGGTGCACTAGGCGCTGGGCGAGGGCCGAGCTGGACACCGGGCGAGGGGCGCAAGGCGAGGGCTGCGCTGGTCGTCAGACGCTGGGCGCCGGGCAAGGGGTGCACTAGGCGCTGGGCGAGGGGCGCACTGGACGCTGGACGAGGGCCGAGCTGGACACCGGGCGAGGGGCGCAAGGCGAGGGCTGCGCTGGTCGTCAGACTCTGGGCGCTGGGCAAGGGGTGCACTAGGCGCTGGGCGAGGGGCGCACTGGACGCTGGACGAGGGCTGAACTGGACGCCGGGCGAGGGGTGCGCTGGTCGCCAGACTCTGGGCGCCGGGCGGGGGGCGCCGGGCGAGGGGCGCGCTGGTCGCCAGGCTCTGGGCGCTGGGCGAGGGGCGCACCGGACGCTGGACGAGGGCCAAGCTGGACGCCGGGCGAGGGGCGCAAGGCGAGGGGTGCGCTGGTCGCCTGACTCTGGGCGCTGGGCGAGGGGCGCGCTGGTCGCCAGACGCTGAGTGCTGGGCGAGGGGCGCACTGGACGCTGGACGAGGGCCGAGCTGGACGCCGGGCGAGGGGCGCAAGGCGAGGGGTGCGCTGGTCGCCTGACTCTGGGCGCTGGGCAAGGGGCGCAGGGCGAGGGGCGCGCTGATCGGTAGACTCCGGGCGCTGGGGCAAGGGGTGCACTAGGCGCTGGGTGAGAGGCGTGCTGGTCGCCAGACTGGGCGCTGGGCAAGGGGTGCACTAGGCGCTGGGCGCGCTGCCCGGGCCGGTCTGGCCCCCGCGGAAGACCCCCTTCTTCTGGAGTCGGCACCCAGCTCGTCTAGATGGGAGCCCCCCTTCAGGACCCGCCCGCCGGGGCACCCCGTGAGCAGAGAAGCCGGCAGGGCCCCCCGGGCGTCGGAGCAGCATCAGCGCACACGCGGGCTCATAGCGTCCTGCTTTATTCGTGGTCAGCCCCCGCCGTGCCCGCACGTCCCCGGACGGGCTCTCCCCGGCCGGCCCCGCCCCCAGCCCTAGCCCTTCAGCCACAGCGTCACGGTGGACACGACCATCTGGCCGGACTTGGGGGTCCCCAGGCAGAAGAAGGGGCGCAGCGGGCCGGGGAAGGCGGCCTGGGCGTAGGTGTGCAGGTGCGAGCCGTCCCTCAGGCTGTAGAAGGACACCTCGCCCGCCTCGAAGTCCAGGAAGACGCCCAGCTGGCTGGGCGGCTCGGACAGCGTGACCGGGGCCCGCGCCGGGCCGGCCCGCGGCGGCGGCTGCGGGCCCCGGGACAGCTGCACCACCCAGAAGCCGTTCTCGGGGGACTTGGGCACGCGCTCGCGCCGGCTCACGTCGTCGCGGCACACGCCCAGGGCCCAGGGCGCCTCGCCGGCCAGGCTCACGCCCACCTCCCAGTAGTGGCGGCCCGACGAGAAGGCCTCCAGGCCCACGGCGCACGGGTAGGCCAGGAAGCGGTCCTGGCCGCCGGCCGCGCCGCCCGCCGTGCTCAGGTAGCGCCGCAGCCGGCTCTCGTACAGCAGCAGGTGGGGGTAGGCCGAGGCGGGGTCGGGCAGCACGTCCTCTGCAGGCCCGCGGCGGGAGAGGGGCTTCAGTCCCCGCCCGGCCCCGCCCGGCCAGCCCCCAGCCCCCCGCGGGCCGCGCGCGCGCGCTTACCCTGGAACCTCTTGAGCACGTCGATCTGCCCCGGGACGCGGCAGGGGGTCCTCAGCGTGGCGGGCGCCGTCTCGGGGTACTGCACGCTCACGCTTTTCTTCCTCCAGTGGACACAGCCTCACTGTCCCCCCGCCCCACGCAGAGCCCGCCCGCGCCATGCCCCCTCCCCCTGGGCCGCCACATACCTATCCAGGGGGTCCTTCATATCCTGGAGAGAGGGCGGGAGGAGCAGAGTGAGGCTCCCCACCCCCTCCCACCCTGCCCCCTGAGCTCGCACCATCCTCAGCCCTGCTGTGTCCGAGGCCCCGCTGGAGTCCCCGTCTCGGGATCCGTGGCGAGAGTAGCGTCCCGAGGGACACTGGGGGCAGTTAGCTGTACTGGGGGCAGGGGCTCCTCCAGTCAGCACTGCCACGGAATCCGCGGGCCCGTCCCATCCCTGGGCTATGCGCTGGAGTGGAGTGTCTGCGAGTCCCTGCCCCCTCAGGCACACACGGTACCCTTCTGGGGTACCGTGGGCACTGGACAGTGAGGGCCCAGGGTACCAGGTGGTGCTCAGAAGACTCAGCTACTCTGGGAGTGGGGGACGGGTCTGAAGGGACCCCCTAACAATGCCCTGGCAGCCTCTGGTCACTGCCCCATCCAGAGGTGGGGGGGCAGGGCAGGGGTGAGGTGTGGAACTCTTCGTGGGGGCCCTCCCAGTGCCAGGGCTCAGCTTGGCACCGCACGCACACAGCCTTTGCGCCACCCACGGTCTTGGTGTTTGGATAGTGGAGAAACGCTTCCCCTGGTGACGGTGGCAGCCGTGTCCTGGGGGCAGGCCGTGCTCGTGTGGGAAAGACCAAGGCGGAACAGCGGATGCATCACCGGCTGAACGACGAGAACGCGCATGCCACACGCGTGAGGGCCTGGCCTCCACATACGTGCCCCACGCGCGTGAGGGGCCGGCCTCCAGGTCCGTGCGCACGCGCAAGGGCCTCTGCGCGCCCCAGCCCGCCCTTGGCGGGGCCGCTCACCTGCAGCATCTGCAGAGGCGTGCGGCCCTCCTGGTCCTCCAGCCGCAGCAGCCGCGTCTCCAGGGCCTGGCCCTGCTGCTCCAGCGCCCGCGTGGCCCCCTGCAGCCTGGCCGCCGTCTCCTCCTGCTCCTGCTGTAGGTCCCGCAGGAGGCGCGCCCGCTGGTCCTCCAGCAGGACGCTCACCTTCTGGAACTCGGCCGTGATGCGCGCCCGCCGCTCCTCCACCTGCTCCTGGGGGCGGCGTCGGGCAGCCCCCGTGAGCGAGCCCGAGGTGGTCGCCCGCCCCCGACCCACCCTTCCCCCCCCCCGCACCTGCCTGCCACGCGGCCAGGCTCTGCTCCTTCTCGGCCTGGAGCTCCCGGGTCTTGGCCATCTCCTCCCTCAGCTGCTCCCTGTCCTCCTTCAGCCTCTGCTGCGGGACGCGGTCCCCGCGTGGGGGTGCGGCTGTAGGACGCTGCCCGCGCCACCAGGCCAGCCCACCCCAAACGTGCCTCGAGGCAGGAGGGTCCCTCTGGGCCCTTCTATGAGCCTTTGAAAACCCTGGGGACCCCTGGACCAGCCTCTCCTGCCACAAGATGGCCCAGGGGCAGCTCTGGGGGCCCCAGCGTGGCAGGATGAGGTGATGAGTGTGGTTTAGGGCGTGGGACTCCTGCACAGCCGGGGGTGGGGGGCGGGGGAGGGTCTGGGAGCCAGAGGCCCTGGCCGCAGCCTCACCCACGCCGCCCGCAGCCGCCTTTGGACACAGCCCTTCGCCCGCTTGTCTCTCCAAGACCAGGTTGAGAGGCGCAGGGCCCGGGGGCGGGCCCACCTTGTACTCCTGCACGACCTCCTCGATGGGCAGCACCATGTGTGTGCGGTGCTCCCGGGACTCCCTGCACACCACGCAGATGGGGCCCTGGTCGTCCTGGCAGAACAGCTTGAGCAGCTCCTGGTGCACCGGGCAGAGCTCGCTGCGCTGGTGCGCCGGGTGCAGCCGGGCCATCTCGGCCACCTTGGTCAGCAGGCGGTTGGGCCTCAGGCTCCTCTGGGGGGACAGCTCCCGGCACTCGGGGCAGGGGAAGGAGCCCCGGTGCTTCTTCCGCCCCTTCTTGCCCTTGGCTTTCTCCCAGGTCAGCCGGATGCACTCGCGGCAGAAGTTGTGGCCGCAGTCGGTCATCACCGGGTCGGTGAAGTAGTCCAGGCAGATGGAGCAGGTGGCCTCCTCCTGCAGCTTCCTGGCCAGCTCCACAGCGTCCATGGCTCCTGGGCAGGACACGGGCCCAAGTTCGGATTCCCAGATTGGAATGGGAGGGGGGCGGGGCGAGAGGTCCCTGACCTCTGGGAGCGGCCGGAGCGGACCTCACTCCCGCCTCGTGAGAATCCGCGACGTCCGGTCAAGCCCTGAGCCCCAAACCCGAGGGTCCTGAAGACAGTTGGGCAACGGGAGCCCACATTTATCACCCCCCGCCCCCGTCTGGCCCCCTCCGCTCTGCTGTGGACTTGAGACTCCGCGCAGCGCCCAGGCAGGAGAGCCGGTGGTGGGTGACCGGCGTGAGCCAGGAGGAGGGCTGGCCCTGTCTCGGGAGCCCACGACCCCAGTCCCAAGGGTGCCCGGGCTTGAGTCCCCCACCCCGGCAGTGGAGCGGCTCCCGCCTGTCTCTCCCATGCGCGGCCTGGGTTGCGTGGGCCGCTGCTCTGGCACCGCCACGGGCGCCGGGCGCACAGGGCAGCTGCGGACCCGGGCCACCCCCCTCCCGGGACCACACCCGGGCGGGAAGGCGCGCACCCAGCATGGCCACTTCTGGGAAGCAACGGGGCGCCGGAGCGTGAGCCCGGCCACGGCGGAACCGGAGCCAGACCAGAGCTGAGTGGGGCTGGGGTCCAGCCGGGCCTTTGTGGCGTCAGCAGGGCCAGGGCGCCTGGACGCGGCGTGGGGGAGGCGGGACAGGACAGAAGACCCCGCCCCGTCGCCCCGCCTTGGCGCCCGTTGGGATGTGAGTCGGGGGCGGGGCGGCAGGGAACCCGGGGCTTCCCGGGCGAGGGGCTCCTCCGCCTGAGGTGGGTCCCAGCACACTTGCGAAAGCGCTTCCTCAAGGGGCTTGGCAGAGCCCAGCCGGGCGGCGCGAGGGCTGCGGGACTGACCCCCCTCACCTCCGTCCTCAGACCCCCTACCCGCCCTCACCTCCGCTCTCAGACCCCCTCTACTCCGCCCTCACCTCTGTCCTCAGCCCCCCTCTGCCCTGACCTCACCTTCGCCCTCAGACCCCCTACTCTGCCCTCACCTCGGGTCTCAGCAAACCAGCTCTCACACCTTGGGGGCCCAGCTGTCCACTTCTCTGCATCTCCCCTCACTCATCGCTGGGGGAGATCTCCCACCCACTGAGCAGGAAAACCTGGCAAGTGGATGCCACAGCATCCATGGCCTGGAGGTGAGTGCCACACACCACCTCAGAGGTGGATGCCACAGCATCTACCGCCTCAGGCGGACGCCACAGCACCCATCCACTGCTTCAGAGGCAGGTTCAAGGCAAGTGCCCTACCCCCGACTATCACTCTGGCCCCCAGGGGCAGATCTTGAAGACCTCAGTTGCCGCGGGGACATTCCAGGCCATGGGGCTGCACGACCCCACCAGTGAGGGTCCTGACAGCTCCTGGCAGTCGGTGAAGCGCCTGAGCCGACAAGGAAGCGCCGTCTGGTCTCTGCAGGGCCCTCAGCTGTGCTGAGTTGCTCTAAAGCGGCACCTCGCACCCCTGCAGGCGGCGGTGAGCCCTGGGAAGCCGGACCCAGGTTTGCCGTGGCCAGCAAGTCTAGCGGGCCCCAGGAAGGAGTGGAGCTTCTGTAACAACACTACGGGAGCAGGGCAGGGAGGGACCAGATAGTCAGGCGCGGGCAGGGAAGCCCGGCTGACCCTTGCTCTGGACGGCTTCTCCGGGCTGTGGGGTCGGTACAGGCATGTGGGCTTGTGGCTGAGGCGTCCCCGGGCGGTTGCAGGGTCCCGGCGTGTCCGCAGACGCCTGTGCTGTGGATGGGGCTCAGGCTGGCGTGCAGGCCCACCGTGTCCGCAGTAGGAACTGGCCCTTCTCACCCCACGGGTCCTGCTTTATGGGGGCTGCTGCCTTACCACAGGTGGGCCGGCCTGACACACAAGAAGCAGCGCTCCAATTGGCTCGTGGGGCGCTGTGGGCGGGACACCTGGACTTAGAGTCTCAGCCCCCAACAGAACGCTACAGTGTGGGTCCAGTTGGTTCTATCTTTGTGGTTTCACTTGTTTTTTTTGACATTTTGGGTCACACCTGGTGGTGCTTAGGGGTTACTCCACGGCTTTGGGACCATGTGGGATGCCGGGGATCGAACCCAGGTCAGCCTCATGCAAGGCAGATGCCCTTCCCGTTGTACTCTAGCTCCTGCCCCTGGGGTTGTCACTTGTCCCTGCACAGAGCCTCTGCTCCCCACAGCACTCCCCTTCCTTTCACCCAGGGGCAGGAATGGGAAGAACCTTCTAGAAGCCTGAGGTGGACATTTGACTTTGTGTGTGTGGTGACAGTGTTGAGATTCCCCTGCCCTGGATAAAGGACTTCCCCATCCCTTCTACTCTGAAAAACAAAATCCGAGACCAGAAAGTAAGAAATTGTTTCTTTCAGATGAGACTCAGGGATAGCCAGCCTGCAAGACCGGGCACACCCCTGAGACCCTCAATGCTCCCCTCGGAGTGCGTCCCACTAAGAAATCTCCAGGCAGAAACACACCCTCACACTCACGCACACACACAAACACACACATACCCTCACTCTCATACTCACATACACACACCCTCACACAAGTACACACACACTCATATATATACACACACACACCCTCAGACTCACACACAAACACACACACACTCTTGGGTCCTTGCCGGAATCTTACCCAGGGGTGCAGGCCGAGCTGTTGCAAAGCGGAGCAACATGCCCAACATGCAGGAGAGGCTGCCCAGTGTGACCACTACTTCCCTCAGCAAGAGTGAAGAAACTTCCACATTTCTTAAACTGTGGGTCATGACCCCATAGGGACCGTGGAACTGAATGTCGGGTTGAGAAAAAAAATGTGGCTACATAAGAGATGTCTGAACTGGCGAAAAAACGAGAAATCAAACACACGCCGAATCTATCTGACAGTGCTCAAACACGCTGCACTTCCAGGGGAAAAGGGATCCCAGTGGGAAGAGGTTAAGCCCTGACCTCTGGCACAGATGAAAGCAGCAAACTTGAGTTGGGTCAGCTGGTTCTGGAAAGGGTCTTCACAGAGGCAATCAAGAGAGAGTGACACGTCTTGGTATTGGGCAGAGGGGGGATGCTATAAAGCTGGGGAACAGGAGAGGGTGGGTGCACTGTCCCGCCCACCCGCCTACTGTCCACCCCCCTGGGCCCTGGGGCTGCCCCAGCAAATGGCCACAAAGTGTGCGTGGGGCACCCGCGGGGATCTGCTTGCTCCTGCGTTGGAGACCAGAGGGATCCAAGAAGGATCCTTGAGTCGGCGCTGAGTGCTGGGAAGGGGCTGAGGAGGGGAGATGCTGCGCCCCCTGCTGGCTCCCGGCCTTTGGTCTTGGGACTCGGGTTTTGCAACTCATCCTCCACCAGAGGAGGCGATCCCAGTGGCCCCGGGGGTTCCACTAACCTGACTGCACCCCTGCTGAGTGAGAACAGGCTCTCGGGGGCAACTGTGGAAGGAAAAGCCTCCCGGGACTTGCTTTCTATCTTTCCTGCAGGCTTCCAGATGCTCAGCCTCAGATGCTGTCAAGGAGCCCTTCTGAGTTCCTTAGTAAGCTAAGTGGTATAGAATATTGCTGAATTAATTGGGTTGCTGGTTTGAATTCACTGTTGTAACAGAGACCAAAATACCGGGGCTAGGTGATAGACAGTACAGCGGTTAGGGTGTTAATCCTGCAAGTAGCTGACTAGGATTCGATCCCAGCATCCCATAGGGTCCTCCTCCCCAGCACTGCCAGGAGTAACCCCTGAGAATGCCAGCTGTGGCCCCAAAGCAGCATAAATGGAGATCGCAGCAGATTTTCTGCTTTTGTCTTTTCACACTATCCAACGTCCACCTGATTGTATGCGTTTCTTGGAAAAGCCCCGACTGAGAGGGAGGCGCTAACACCCCATTCTCAGCCTGCCTTGCGCCAGTGTTCTGGGGTTCTCCAGCCAAGCTTCAGCATAGAAAATGGTGCCCACCGTTGCTTTCTGAAATAGCACACACATTGCATAACCTGGTCCTTTGGACGTCCCCACAGTGCACACTTACTACAGCTGCAAACCTTGCTTCTTTGTCAAACTGCACAAAATTATTTTATTCTGATTTTAGCAATCAACTAAAGGAATCTTCGACCGTTTTAATTCCTCTGAATATGCAACCTACAATGACATTTCTTTGAAAGCTTACATCTCAGGATCAGTGCATCAGGGATGCGTAGAGCACATGCCTGGCAGGCCCTGGGCTTGATTAAATAATAAATCCAAAGAAACGTATCCGATTATCCACCCCCCCCCCACACACACACAGCCCGGCTCCACAAGGCTAACGCGACCACTTCAAGCCCCCCTAGACCAGACCTTTAAAAATCTGGACCACTCAAGCTCAGTATATTTGACAGCTAACCACGGGATCTCCCTGTCCTGCTGGGCAGAGCTGACTGTCCTGACATTTAACAATCCTCATGCACGTGGGTCTTCCCCGCGCCCGACTGCCGCGCACCCAAGGGCGAGCCGGCCTGGCCGGTGCCCGCGTGCGCCCCGCGCGCGCCGTGCGGCTCTTTTCTCGAGGCTGGGGGTGGCTCTGAAAAGAGCCTTTGTTGTCTCTGGGCCCGGCGGGCCCGGGCGGGCGCGGCGGCCTCACTTGCCCTTGGCCTTGTGGTGGCTCTCGGTCTTCTTGGGCAGCAGCACGGCCTGGATGTTGGGCAGCACGCCGCCCTGCGCGATGGTCACGCGGCCCAGCAGCTTGTTGAGCTCCTCGTCGTTGCGGATGGCCAGCTGCAGGTGGCGCGGGATGATGCGCGTCTTCTTGTTGTCGCGCGCCGCGTTGCCCGCCAGCTCCAGGATCTCGGCCGTCAGGTACTCGAGCACGGCCGCCAGGTACACGGGCGCGCCGGCGCCCACGCGCTCCGAGTAGTTGCCCTTGCGGAGCAGCCGGTGCACGCGGCCCACGGGGAACTGCAGGCCGGCGCGCGACGAGCGCGACTTGGCCTTGGCGCGCGCCTTGCCGCCCTGCTTGCCGCGGCCCGACATCCCGGCGCGAGCGGGGGACGGCGCGAGCGGGGGACGGCGCGAGCGGGGGGACCGCGCGCCGCAGGACCAGAGCCCACACAGCGGCGCGCCGCCGCGCCCCCGCGCTTATATACGGGCGGCAGGGCGGCCGGGCGGCGGCTTCCGATTGGGCCGCGCGGGGAGCCAATCGGAGCGCGAGGCTGCCATCCCTCATTTGCATGGGGCGGCCCCGCGGCCGCGGCGCCCCGGAGCCCGCCCTATCGGGAGCCGGGGACGCCCGAGCCCTCATTTGCATACAGGAAGTACAAATAGCGGCGCGCGGCGGCGGTGCCGCCCGTGCCCGGCGCGGCCCGTGCCCGGCTCGGCCCGCGACCAGCCCAGCTCGGCCCGGCGTCATGCCCGACCCCTCCAAGGCGGCGCCCGCGCCCAAGAAGGGCTCCAAGAAGGCCGTGACCAAGGCGCAGAAGAAGGACGGCCGCAAGCGCAAGCGCGGCCGCAAGGAGAGCTACTCCATCTACGTGTACAAGGTGCTCAAGCAGGTGCACCCCGACACGGGCATCTCGTCCAAGGCCATGGGCATCATGAACTCCTTCGTCAACGACATCTTCGAGCGCATCGCCGGCGAGGCGTCCCGCCTGGCGCACTACAACAAGCGCTCGACCATCACGTCGCGCGAGGTGCAGACGGCCGTGCGCCTGCTGCTGCCCGGGGAGCTGGCCAAGCACGCCGTGTCCGAGGGCACCAAGGCCGTCACCAAGTACACCAGCTCCAAGTGAGCGCGCCGCGGCGCCCGCACCCAAAGGCTCTTTTCAGAGCCACCCACACGGCCGAGGAAGGGGCTGGAACACGGTCTCAGGACGCCCGAGCGGCGGGTCCGAGGAGACAATGGGCGAGGGGGCCTTGTGCCATTCCGCCCCCCGCCCCTCGCGCCTCCCCCGCCTCGTTGGGTGACGCCCCGGTGATGTCACCCAGCACCACTGGCCACGCGCCGGCGCTGCATCCCTTCCCGCACCATGCTTTGCCCCAGAAAAGCAGATTCACTGGGTCTTGGAGCCCGAAGGAGGCACCCGGGGGCGAGCAGACTCTGACCCCCGTCCCTGCTGCAGATTTAATTTGGGGAAGGGAGATGAAAGTAAATTTTCTGTACTAACGAGCTTCCTCCTCCATCAGCATCCTTGGATTCTGTGATGCCAAGCAGCCTTGCTCTGAACTGGGCACTCACTGGGAGAGACAAGTTGGGTAAGGGAAAGAAAGCACATCTAGCCTTTTTGTGATCTTTTCTTCTTTTGCCCTATTTGGGGCAGGGAGCCTAGCAATTCTCCGTGAGAGGTTTAACATGAGGGCCCAATTCCCCCTTTTATTTGTAAATAGGGTGTATGCTGATGGAGGGCTGGAGACAGTGCAATGGGGAAGGCACTTGCCTTGCATGCAAATGACCTGGGTTATGTCTCCAGCACCACAAATGGGCTCCCGAGCTCTGACAGGAGTGATCGCTAAGCACAGAGCTAGGAGTCAGTCCTGAGCATGGCCAGGTGTGGCCCCTAAACTGAAATAGTTAAAATTTCTGGGCCAGGGGCTGGAGCGATAGCACAGCGGGTAGGGCGTTTGCCTTGCACGCAGCCAACATGGCCGACACAGGTTCGATTCCCAGCATCCCATATGGTCCCCTGAGCACTGCCAGGAGCGATTCCTGAGTGCATGAGCCAGGAGTAACCCCTGAGCATCTCCGGGTGTGACCCAAAAAGAAAAATAAATTCTGGGCCATAGAGTATAGGGGTTAAGATTTTATAGGCACTGACCTTGCATGCAGCTGACCTTGGATCAATGTCTGGCACTGCCAGAAGTGACCACACACTGGTGCTACTCCAGGGCTACTCCTGGTTCAGTGCTTAGGGGACCATACAGTGCCAGGATTGAACCTGGGCCTCCAAGCACTCAGAGCCTGTGCCCCAGACTGCTAATGAATCTCTGGCCTCAACAATGAGGTATGAAGTATTTTACATGGCTTTTTTTTTTTTGTGGGAGCACACCTAACAGTGCTTGAGGCTTACACTCAGCTCAGGGATCACTCCTGGTGGACCCTGGGACCTTATGGGGTGCTGGGGATCAAATTCAGGTCAGCTATGTACAAGGCAAGTGCCCTACCTGCTATACTATCTTTCGGATCTCTTTTTTTTTTTCTTTTTTGGCTTTTTGGGTCACACCCAGCGATGCACAGGGGTTACTCCTGGCTCTGCACTCAGGAATTACCCCTGGCGGTGCTCAGGGCACCATATGGGATACTGGGAATCGAACCCGGGTTGGCCACGTGTAAGGCAAATGCCTTACCCACTGTGCTATCGCTCCAGCCCCTCTCTCGGACCTCTTGACTGCAAAATTTTTTGGGTCACACCCGGCAGTGCTCAGGCGTTACTTCTGCTCTGCACTCAGCAGTTACCCCTGGTGGTGCTCAGGGGATCATAAGGAATGCTGAGGATTAAACCTGGGTCAGCTGCATGCAAGACAAGCTTCCTACCCTGTATTATTTTTCCAGCCCCATTGGCTGCAAATCTTTGGTCATATGTTAATTATGGAGTAAAGCAAAGATTTAGAAGGGAAAGCTGTTCTTTTAAGGAGCCAAAAGGCTGAAGAGGGAGAGGGGCTAAGGTGCTTGTTTAACCCCAGGGTCCATGGCACCCTGGCACATGATGCCTCAGCAGTGCCTCCACCCCTCCTCTCCAAGGTCCATAAATGGTGGGGGGATGGCTTAAAGGGACGGAGTGCAGGGAGCCCTGGAGAGGACCTCAAGTCCCAAGCAAATTAGCTCCCAAGCACGACCCCAAAGCAAAAACAAACCCATCCGCAGATGGGGGGTGGGGGAGGGAGCGCACGCCCACAAAAACATCCAAATACCCCAAATCCCACGAACGACTTTCTTGCTAGAGAAGAGAGTCAATGTGGGGAAACACAGGACAGCAGCCCCAGCTGCTGGGCTGTGTCGTCTGTGACCAGGCCACACTAGGGCTGTATGTTTCCAGTACAAGGCCACTGCACCGGAGCCCTCCATAGACGTGCCTGCCATGCAGGGAGAGAGCTCATCTCCGCTCCTATTACAAAGGCAAGAGAATTCCATCTAGTAACAAGGTTGAAAAACATTAGTGTATTTATTTCAGCTTCAAGAACCCATACCACCTAACCAGACATTTTCGCTGCGGGATGAAGGTGCAGACCAGTAACTGTCCCACCGTTTTGATCAGTCAAGGGCAGAAGGGGCGTAGAGAGGGAGGCTGTGAGGCTTCCCAGGGGGCGATCTTAGCCCTGCTCCCGCCCAGGCACTGACGCCGTCGCTAGGAGGGGCTTTCCGCAACCCCCCAGGTTTCTGGCAGGGGATGAAACGCACTGACCCGGTAGGTCTTTGGGGTTCATGTTCCCCCCGGAGAGCTTAGCTTTTCAGCCGGCCCTGCCCCCCAACATGCGACTAGCCCGCCCCCCACCCCATCCCCCCGGACGCAGTGCCGGCCGCGGCCAGACCAGGTTGCAAGCTCCTTTTTGAACCCGGAGGTGGCTCTGAAAAGAGCCTTTGGGTGCGGGCGCCGCGGCGCGCTCACTTGGAGCTGGTGTACTTGGTGACGGCCTTGGTGCCCTCGGACACGGCGTGCTTGGCCAGCTCCCCGGGCAGCAGCAGGCGCACGGCCGTCTGCACCTCGCGCGACGTGATGGTCGAGCGCTTGTTGTAGTGCGCCAGGCGGGACGCCTCGCCGGCGATGCGCTCGAAGATGTCGTTGACGAAGGAGTTCATGATGCCCATGGCCTTGGACGAGATGCCCGTGTCGGGGTGCACCTGCTTGAGCACCTTGTACACGTAGATGGAGTAGCTCTCCTTGCGGCCGCGCTTGCGCTTGCGGCCGTCCTTCTTCTGCGCCTTGCTGATGGCCTTCTTGGAGCCCTTCTTGGGCGCGGGCGCCGAGCGCGACGGGTCGGGCATGACGCCGGGCTGGGCACGGGCGCGGCCCGCGCGCGCGCCGCTATTTATCGGCTCTCTATTCAAATGAGGGCTCCCGGGCCCTCGCGCCCCATTGGACGGCGGCCGGCTCCGAGGCGCTATGCAAATCGCGGATGCCGGCTCGTCCTTGCTATTGGCCCGTCGTCCGGCCAATCCGAAGGTGCCTCGGGCGCGCCCGGTCCGGCGGGCACCTGCGTGCGGACCTCCCTCTGCAGCATCCCGGGGAGGGGCCCTTTGTTCAGCCGGGAGTCTGGACGCACGGACGCAAAACCGCGCCTTCACCCCTCGGCGCGATCTTCTCCGGCTACAGGGCAACGGGGATGGGGGTGATCCCGAGCCCCACGAGCAGAGGAGCGGGGCCCGCAGCCCTAGGGAAACTGGGAGGGCGGGTTCCGGCTGCCTCTTCAACATCATCTCCCATCTCCCCTCCCACCCTCACAAAGCCACCGAGATCAATTCTTTCTCGAATCCAAGCGCAAATGCTAACGGTTCTTTAGGAAGCACTGGAAAATATATTAAGGTTCTTACATCGAGTGGAGCAACGAGGCCGACGACGTAACTGGAGAAGGGAAGAAATTGGTCTGAAAGCAAACGCTGAACCCTCCTACCAGCTTATTACAGCGATCACATCTGTCTCCTGGTATCTCCTAATTAGGTCGTATTATTACCCCCTAATTATCCATCAACACAGGATTATGGAAGTCAATAGTTCCTGAACTGCCCCTCCCTTCCCCTTAAATTAATTCCTATATACACGAGGCTGACATGCCCCGTTAGCTTCAGATAGAAACAGAATGGCAGGAATTCACAGTTTTCAGCTTCACCTGGGAAGCTCGGTAGAAATACAGAATCCCGGGCCCTCGCCCAAAGGTTCTGCATCAGAGTCTGCGCCTTGAATAGGTCCTTGTGCACGTCACCATCTGCAGTTCTGTGCGGTCTGGAGGCGACGTAGGCTCCGAGCGCAGCTCCCGAGCGCCAAGCGGACACTTCATTTTCCCTGCTTCCAGCGCCGCCCGTTCCCCGGGCAAAACGGCTAGTCAGAGGCTCTGGCCGGGCGCTTTAGGGCACCAACAAAGGTACAGATTTGAAGAACCCCACACGAGATGCTTTTTGCCCTGGAAAGCCAGAGAACCAGCAAGGTGGGGAAGAGATGCCTGAGCGGGCCGGCCCCTCCTGGGTCCTAATTTACGTTTCTGCGCTCCCCTCCCCTCCAGTTCAGGGGGGCTGCCGGGGCAGCCGCAGGGAGTCGCTGCGAGTGGCCGTGGACGCTGACCGCGAGCGAGGCGGGTTGCGCAGGCGTGGCGCGCGGGGGACCCACGCAGTCCTTGCCGGCCCCGCCCCAGCCCCGCGCGGGCGCTGAGCGGCCGGCGGCTCAGGTCTTAGCAGCTTACCAAAGCCCTTTCGGTGGCGCTCCGCATAATGCCGCGTGGCCTCTCCACGGCTCAGCTGTAGCCAGAGCGGCGATTCCAGTCGGACTTCCGGGGTGCGAGGACGCGGGCCAGCGGCGCGGGCCGGAGAGTGGAGCTTCCGGCGGCGGGCACCGGGCCGAGTGGTACGCACCTCTGCCAGGACCTGGCACGGAGCGCGCCGCCCGCGACAGCGCTCAGCGCATCCCGGCGAGGTCCCTGCACGGAGCGCGTCGCCGCCGTCGCTCCCCGGACGGTGTGACCGCGCCCTCCGGGGGTCCCGCAGCCGCTCGAACGGTGTGATCATGCCCTCCTGGGGTCCCGCAGCCGCCCGAACGGTGTGACCGCGCCCTCTGGGGGTCCCGCAGCCGCCCGGACGGTGTGACCGCGCCCTCCTAGGGTCTCGCCGCCGCCGCCGCCCGAACGGTGTGGCCGCGCCCTCTGGGGGTCCCGCAGCTGCCCGGACGGTGTGACCGCGCCCTCAGGGGGTCTCACAGTCGCTCGGACGGTGTGACCGCGCCCTCCCGGGGTCCCACATTCTGGACGGTGTGACCGCGCCCTCCGGGGGTCCGGCCGCCGCCCTGGCGCTGCGCGCCCGCCCCCCACAGGCCGCCTGCGCCCTGTGCCAGGGCGTGCCCCGCGAGTCCGTGCGCGCCGACTGCGGCCACCGCTTCTGCCGGACGTGCGCGCTGCGCGTCTGGGAGCGAGACGATGGGCCCTTCCCGTGTTCCGCGTGCGCCGGCCGCCCCTGGCAGCGCGCCGTGGGGCCCGGCCGCCCGCCGCTCAGCCGCCGCCTGGTAACGCTCGAGAAGGCGGCCGCGACGCCCACGCGCGACGGCGCGGCCTGCGAGGCAGCGCTGCAGCTGCTGTGCCGCGCGGACGCGGGCCCGCTATACCGCGCCTCCCACCTGCGCCCCGAGACCCCCGACGCCGAGCACCGGAGGAGCGCACCGCGCGGGAAGGTGCGCGCGGGCCGGGGCCAACCTGGGCCCTTCTGACCGGCCCCTCTCCCAGGACCCCAGGGGCTCGGCGGAGATCTTGCACAAGGACCTGAAGGACGCGCGGGACCTGCATGGGCAGGCCGAGTCCCACGACGCCGTGTGGAAGGCAAGTGGCCGCGGGCCGGCTCCCCCCTCCCCGCCCCCGACGTGGGGCGGCCCGCGGGGCGCGCACCCAGGACCCAGGTGTCCCTCCTCGCGACCGCCCGCAGGGTCACGCGATGGACCGGAGGAAGAAGGTGCTGACCGACTACCGGAGGCTGCACGGCGTTTCCTGCGCGAGGCGGCCCAGACCCACGACGACGGGGGTCCGGGGTCCGCTCGGCGCTTCAGCTCCCTGCTGCAGGCCGTGTCCGAGCTGGAGGGGCGCCACCGCAGCCTGGGCCTCGGCAGCTGCTGCAGGTGGGCCGCGCGGATGGGGACACGGCTGAAGGCCTTTCCAGTCCTGGCAGACCCCGCTGGCCCTCGGTGCCAGCAAGGCTGGCTCTTCGCTCTGGAGTGGGTGGAGGGCACAACTCTCCCCCACCCGGCCCCTGCTCTCTCTGCAGTGAGGCTCTACCGCCCCTCCCAGTCGGCCACAGAGGTAACTCCGGCAGCACCCTGAGAGTCCACCCTCCCGGCCAGACCTCCTTCACCCCATCCACAGTCCCAATCCCTCTAAATCCAGAGGAAGGGAGCCCTCCTCCCCAAGTCACGCGTGCGTCCTCATAAAGCTCTGGTGGCTGCAGGCTCCTGGGGTCTGTCTAGACTGTCGCCCAACACCCCCACCTGCACGTGCAGATCACTAGGGGAGGGGAGTGGGATGAAGGACCTCTCCCACCTGCAGCCTGATGCCTGAAGCTGTGAGGGGCGGCCCCCTCCCCAGGCAGGGCTCTGCGGAACGGAGGAGTCTGGGCATGGGCCATCACCCAGTAGAGCTGGGCACCAAGGCGCTGGCAGGGGAGCGAGTTCTAACCAAGTCAGAGCAGGCGGAGGCTTGGCCGCAGAAGGAAGACCCACTCGCGAAGCTCTTTGGGGCTGAGCCGCTGGTTTTATTTCATGGCCGCTGTGGGGCTTAGCATTCTGAATGGGCACGTCCACTCGCTGTGGGCACAATGCAGGGCAGCAGTGGTGGTGGATGGCACAGAGCTGCCCCAGGCAAGGCTGGACCCCCGGGGTCTGGCTGGGATGCAGGTGCCAGGCTGAATGGGGCTCCAGCACCTTGCCTGGGAGACGCTGGCATGGGCGGACTGGGGGGGGGGGGGGCTGGGAGCAGGTGGCTGAGGCTGGTGTGCAGGAGATGGACCCACGGGGCACCGTGTGCCCCCCGAGCGCTCCCCCTGCGGGAGGGCAGGGTGTGGAAGGGCCCCCTAAGGACCGGCCAGCCCTGTTCTCCACTGCCCCTCCCGCCAGTCCACCAGCTGTCAGAAGTGACCCAGACGAGGCGGATGGGGGAGACTGAGGCAGCCTTGTGCTGAGGGTAGCCCGTCCCTCGGACACCCAGAAGCCTGGCTACCCCTCCTGGCCCGAGCGGCCCACTAGCTGGTTTCCAGCCGGGTGGGCAGGGCCCAGTGCCAGCGCGTCCCACCTCGGTGGCCCCGCCCGGGCTCAGGGGGAGCCGGGCGCCCCTGCAGTGCCCGCGGGTCAGTAGGAGTTGAGGGCCTGCTTGGAGCGGCGCCGCATGTGCAGGCGCTCGTGACGCAGCAGGTTGTGGTTGTGCAGGAAGCGCTTGACGCAGTAGCGGCACTGCAGCGGCCGGGCCGGGTCCTTGGCGTGCGTGCGGCGGTGGCGCTCCAGGTGGTCGTGGCGCTGGAAGGCCTTCCCGCACTGGCAGCAGGAGAAGCGGGGCTTGCCGCGGGCCTGGCCCGGCGCCCCCTTGCCCGCGGCCTGCAGGTGCGTCCGCCGGTGTGCGTCCAGGTGCGAGCTGAGGCGGAAGCTCCGGCCACACGCGCCGCACTGGTAGGGCTTCCGGGCCTCGTGGGTCTCCAGGTGGCCGTCCAGGCCCTCGCTGTCCCCGAAGAGCTCCCCGCACTCGGCGCACTCGTACGGCTGCTCCTGCTCCCGGCGGCTGCGCAGGTGCCGGATGAAGTTGACGCGCCAGCGGAAGGCCTTGCCGCAGTTGGGACACACGTAGGCCTTGTGCGGCGACGGCTGCGCCTCGGCCCGCGCCTCGGCCCCCGCCTTGGCGGCTGCGCAGTACGGGCCCAGCTGCGGGTCCTCGTCCCCGGAGCTGGACAGCACGATCTCGATGCTCACCTCCTCGTCGGGGCCACCCTGGGGGGACGGCGCGCTGGCGCCGGCTGCAGGGGGCAGGGGGTTACGGCCAGGCCGGGAATGCGGGGGTGGGGTGGGGGTGGGGGCCCGGCTCTCCTCCCTCCTCTGCCCCTCCCCCCCACCTGCCAGGAAGCCCAGCAGAGGGACTGCTCCAGGGAAGGTCTGCGGGAGCCTTGTGGGCGGGCACCCCCGAGGCTCCAGGCTCCGGTCAGCAGCACGCCCACAGCAGATGCGGCAGGAGTGAGTGACCGGGCAGTGCCACGGCCCTGCTGCTGTGGGTCAGGCCCAGGAAGGAGTAAATGGGGATGCGGCCTCACAGGCACGGTGGGAAGGACAGTGGCTAGAGCCCGTCCTCTGTCATGTATCCTCTCCTGGGACCCCGAGACTGGGCAGTGGCTCCCACAGCTTACATACACACACACACACACCAGCAGCTCCCACACTCCCATGCATGCACCCAGTGGCTGGCTCCCCGCCCCCCACATGCTCACATACACACGCACACTCCACACACACCACACGCACGCATAATGGGCACACATACACTCACCCCCCACTCCCACAGATGCGCACACATGTACCACCGCCACGCCCACCCCCACCCCCGTACTTAGGCAGGCGCTCTCCGGGGGGGCCCTCTGCGGGGCGCCCTGGAACTCGGGCACGTGCAGCTCGTCGCGCGTTCTCTCTTCCTCGGGGAACGGCTGCACGCTCGGGAGGCCTTCGAGAAGCAAAGGGAGCAACGTGGTAGGAGCCGCGGCAGCAGGCGTGGGGGAGGGGGGCCCTGCGCAGGGCAGCCCAGACGCCGTCCTCACCCGCGTAGGAGGCCTGGGCCGCGTCCTCCTCCTGCTCCTCCAACCACTCTGGAACCCGGGGCTCGTTCTCCTCAGCCTGGGCGGGGGGCAGGGGGTCCATGGGGTCACCTGCTCGCAGGGGAGACGCGGCATATTAGACCTGCTCCGGCGGGAAGCCAGGTGGGGGTGGGGGCGGGGGCGGGTCTTACTCTGGGCCAGCGCCACGCCGCAGTCCTCCCCTATGATGAACTCTCCGTAGAAGCCCGTCTGCGCCGGGTCCAGGAGAGACCAGTCCTCTTGTGAGAAGCAGAAGATTATGTCCTTGAAGAGAGAGACCACGGGGCTGGGTCGCCGGGGCCTGGGAGAGCTGGGACGGGGCAGCAGGGCCGGAGCAACCTCAGGCCGAGAGTGTGTGTGGGGAGGGGACAGGGATGCTCTGAGAGGTGACCGGCACCAGTGCCGGTCACAGCAGACACTTCTCAGACCTGGGGCCTAAGGCTGTGTGGGCGCTTCAAAGTGATTCATTCTCACTCTTATTCATCCCTGGCACACCGCAAACCAAAGATGAAAATTCACTGCTTTATACGACCAACTGCAAAGATCTTCCAAAGAACATTTTTGGGGGGCTGGAGAGACAGTACAGTGGGTGGGGCACTTGCCTTACATTCGATCTCTGAGTGCAGAGCAACTCTGAGCAGCCTGGGTGTGACCCAAAACTACACACAGTGGGGCTGGAGAGAGAGCACAGTGGGCAGGGCGTTTGCCTTGCATGCGGCCGACCCGAGTTCGATTCCCAGCATTCCAGCATCCCTGAGCACCGCCAGGAGTAACTCCTGAGTGCAGAGCCAGGAGTAATTCCTGTGCGTCGCCAGGTGTGACCCAAAAAAAGCAAAAAAAAAAAAAAACACACAAAAAAAACCTACACACAGAGGCGCGCGCGCACACACACACACACACCACACACGTGTTCAAGAGCGACACCCTTGTGGTGGTTAGAGTCCCTCCTGCTGCCGCCACCGCCGCCTTGTGGCGAGCTGCAGCCCAGGCTGGGAAGGGCCTTCCCAAGGCTTTTATCTTCCCTTCTCCCCGCAGCACCCCTTGTCAATTAAAAAATTCCAGCTGTACAAAATGGGGGTGCGGGGTGGGGCACCTGAAGCAGAAGGCACCCAAGTCTGCTCAGTCCCTGGGGGTCCCGCTGGGCCCCTGCCCCCAAGCGAGACACCCGCAGGCCCAGCTGCGTGGGTTCACAGCCAGAGGGGAGGCTCCAGGGCCTCAGGACACAGTCAGACTGCAGGCAGCCCGGGGGGGCCCCTGAAGCAACTCTGGGGAGCATGTCGGGGGCACGGCCCACTGGGCCAAATACCAAAGCAAACAGAAGCAAATAAAAACATCCTTGACATGCATGATGCATGACCTGGAACAAACCCTACTCGCATGAGACGAGCAGCGTGAGGACCTGACGGCACCGAGGCCTGCGGGCGTCTGCAAGGCACGTGCAGAAGTGGACGAGATTTCTAAGTCCACGTGGTAAGGCGCAAGGCTCAGAGAGCGGGGCTGGAGGAGCCGTCTCTGGGACATGCAAACACTCGGAAAGAGAGCAGGTTCTGGGAGCCGACCCACATGAACAACTGATCCCCAGTACTGTTGGCGTTTCTCTGGGGTCACACCCGGTGATGCTCAGGGCTTACTCCTGGGTCTGCACTCAAGAATTACTCCTGGTGTTCTTGGGGACCACACGACATGGTGGGGATCGAACCCAGGTCAGCTGTGAGCAAGGCAAACTCCCTGCTGGGATCCAGCGGGGAAAAAAACCTCCGAGGAAGGCCCTTGGGGTGAGGGCTGCAGTTTCAAGGGCCAGAGACATGACCCACAAGTGACCTCCTGGACTTGCAGATAAGACATTTTAAAAATAACAGGAGAGAGAAAATCTATCAATAAAGAGTTTAGATGGCACAAAAGCAAAATCCTTGGAAAGACTGGCCCCAAGCTGGGAAAGCCAGGGGGAAAAGGAACCATCTGGAACTCCCAGGTCAGCCAGAAAGGGCCTTCAGCAAGGACAAAGAGCTCAGGCCTTGATTCAGGGGAGCACAGCGGGTAGAGCTGCCCACCAGAGCCAGTGTGGCCCCAACCAGACACACCAATATAAAGCAAACCCAGAAGACTCAAGGTAGCTCGGGGAAAGGGGCCCGTGTACTGGCAAGAGGTGCTGGAATAAGTGCTGAGCCTTGCCGGGAAGCTGGCACGGGGGCGCAGAGCCCACAGAGACAGGGATGACCAGCACAGAGCCTGAGGCCGTGCGAGAACTGGCCCAGTCCCTGGCTGTGCTGCAGAGACAGAGGGACTGCTGGCCACACAGGTGACTTCCCCCCCTGGGGCGGAAGGTATTCAGGGTCACCTCGGCTCGGGCCAACTGCCCCAAGTCTCAAGTCAGAGAACGGGAGCAGAGGCCAGAGGAGTCCTGCTTCACCCGAGGCAGGGGCTGGGAGCCCCTCCGGTCCCACCCACAAAACACCAGACAGAGCTCCCCACGCAGCGGGATCCCTGCCTTCAAACTGCGCCAATGGGCATTGGCGCCCACTGTGGGCACAGACCTCTGAGATCAGGCGGAGGGGAGGGGAGCCCAGCACACCCCAGGGTCACTCACCGGGGGCAGCTGCAGGGTGGCCTCCTGGTGTGTGTCCCTGGAGCCGGTGGGGTCGGGCAGGGCCATGGCCTGCAGCGCTGAAACACGCAGGGTCCCTGTGTGAGGGGCTCCAGCATGCGTGGGGCCCCGCCAGGGAAGCTCTGGGGCACCCGACCTGCACACGTGGCGCCCAGGGCTCCAGGGGGTCTGAGTCCTGCTCCCCGGGGGCACTCAGCTTCCTGGACCCCAGACCCACACCAGCCCCAGCAGAATGATCCCCCAGGAAGGGCCTTGCGGGAAGCAGGTGGCAGCATGGCAGTGCTCAGGGAATGTGGAATCTCTCACTCCGGGGAGCCCCCCTGCATCCTCACGCGGGCCACACGGCCTGCCTCGGGCAGTGTCTGCTGTCCTGGTGCTCACTCCTGGGGGGAAACACGTCCCCCCCAACTCCATGTGAGAATCTCCATCCCGGAGCAGGGCTGTTTTTGAAGGGGCCCTGGCAGCAGTGATGAAGGGGAAGTGCAGAGGGACACAGGCAGCTGTGGGAGGAGGAAGCAGCCCCACAGCCCCGAGCTCCAGGATAGGGACAGGCCTATGCCATTAGGGTCCTCGTGCGGGGCGTACAGGGTTGAGGGTGCAAGAGGTTGTGGGGGTGTGCAGGGATGAGGTTTGCAGGGGCGGGGTGTTCAGGCATGAGATGTGCAGGGATGGGGTGTGCAGGGGTGAGGTGTGTGCAGTGAGATGTGCACGGGTGGGGTGTAGGATCCAGGTGTAGCATATGCAGGGATGGCAGGTGTGGGGGTGGGGTGTGCAGGGGTGAGGTGGGCTAGAACCCTGGGGACAGGCATCCGTCTCCTGAATCCCGAGCAGGTGCAGAGAGCTGAGGAAAGTGCCTGAGGCTCCCACCTGGGGCTACAATCTTTGGCACCTGGCAGGGTTTTTCCACCTGTTACCCCTGCGGACACCAGGGAAGGGCCGGCAGGGAGAGCCTGGGGCCAGTCCCGAGCAGCCCCCTTACAACTATCCCGGGACTGAGACCCCCAGCCGGCTCTGGGAACTGGCACAGCAGCCGCCGCGGGCTCACCTGGCAGAGCGGGGGATCAAGCCGGGACCCTGCACGCTAAGCTGCGCCCCAGCCTTGGAGCCTTGTCCCAGCCCACCCTGAGCCTCAGCTCAGCCCCGTGGGACTGGGGGGGATGGGGGGCAAGAGAACGTGGATGCTGTTTGGAGAGGGCACAGCCAGGGACACTCCCCGGGGCCGCCTGCCCACGTCTGGGCCCCCATACCTGGGTCCCCGCTGGGCTGGCCGGGCAGCCGGCTGGGGAGCCCCGGGCCGAGCGCCGGGGCCAAGGCTGTGCCGTCCTGGCCCTTGGCCGGGTGGCCCTGCGGCTCGGCCAGCGGCTGCTCCGGCTCCTGGTCTGGGGGGCCGTCCCCGTCGTCGATCACCACGGGGTCCTCGCAGTGCTTGAGCTGCAGGCCCAGAGAGGGGGTCAGGGGGCGGCATCCGCGCGGACCGAGCCCGGCCCGGGAGGTTCCGCCGCAGGCGCGCGCGCGCTCACCCACTGCCAGGGCCGGCCGGGCTCCCGCTCCAGGGCCTCCACGGCCGCCACCGCCTGGTCGCCGCTGCCCGGCTCCTGGGCGCGCACCCAGCCCTGCACCTCGCGCGGCAGCACGCCCAGGAACTGCTCGAGCACCAGGCACTCGAGGATCTGCTCCTTGGAGAGGCGGTCGGGCCGCAGCCAGCCCCGGCACAGTTCCCGCAGCCGCTGCAGCGCCTCGCGCGGGCCCGCCGCCTCCTGGTAGCGGAAGCGGCGGAAGAGGCGGCGCGAGGACTCGGGGCTGGGCAGCCCCTCGGCCGGCCGGGGGCTCTCCCCGGGCGGGCCCCGCATCTTCCGGGGCTCCTCGCTCTCCTTCGGGGCCAGCACCCGGGGGCACAGGGCCGTGGGCATGACGGGGCCGGTCGGGCTCGGCCGCCTAGTTCCACACGGGCCGCGGGCTCAGGGCGCGGCCTCGCTGCACTGCTGCCCGGCTCGGGGGGCGCCGGACCCGCCGCAGGGACCCTCGGGCAGGGGCCAGCGGGCCGCTAGGTGCGGGCTCCGGAGCCCACGCCGAGTCCTCGCCGTCGGGGCCCCGGCGCGGGGAGCTGGAAGGCAAAGGCAGGGGCGCGGCTCGCGGGAGGGCAGGGCTGGACAGCGCCCGGTCCCGGGTCCCACCCGCGCGAGGACACGAGCGTCCGCACCGTGGCTGGGAGAGCGAGGGCCAGGTGGCGACGCCCCCTCCCCGAGCGCGCGCGCCCGCCCCCGCCCACCCCCGCGCGCCCTCACCGCACGGCCGCGGCCCCCGCCCCGCAGCATCCTCCGGCGCGCGCCCGGCCCAGGCGGCGCCGCTCCCGCTCCGGCTCCTGCTCGGGCTCCGGCTCGGGCTCGGGCTCCGGCTCCGGCTCCTGCTCTTGCTCGTCCCGGGGCTGCACCTGGGCGGGAAGCGCGGGCTGGTGGCGGCGCCTGCAAGGCACCAGCGCATCGCCGTGACCCGGGGCACCCGGGGGGCCGGAGGAGCGGGACCGGGGGGTCCCAGGTCCCGGGAAGCGGGTTGGGGGTCCCGGAGGCGGGCTGGGACCCCGGGAGGCGGGTTGGGGGTCCAGGAGGCGGGTCTGGGGTTCCGGGAGGCGGGTTGGGGGTCCCGGAGGCGGGCTGGGACCCAGGAGGCGGGTCCGGGGGTCCAGGAGGCGGGCTGGGACCCAGGAGGCGGGTCCGGGGTCCCGGGAGGCGGATTGGGGGTCCCGGAGGCGGGCTGGGACCCAGGAGGCGGGTCCGGGGTCCCGGGAGGCGGATTGGGGGTCCCGGAGGCGGGCTGGGACCCAGGAGGCGGGTCCAGGGTCCCGGGAGGCGGGTTGGGGGTCCCGAGGCGGGCTGGGACCCAGGAGGCGGGTCCGGGATTCCGGCAGGCGGGTTGGGGGTCCGGGGTCCCGGAGGCGGGCTGGGGCCCCGGGAGGCGGGCCCGGGGTCCCGGGAGGCGGGCTGGGGGCTCCGAGGTCCCGGGAGGCGGGCGGGGGTCCCGGGAGGCGGGCTGGGGGCTCCGAGGTCCCGGGAGGCGGGTTGGGGGTCCGGGGTCCCGGGAGGCGGGCGGGGGCCGGGGGGCGGCGCCGGGGCCCCGCGGTAGGGCGGGGGCGCGCGGGGCGGGGGCGCGGGCCGCACTCACCGCCGGGCGCGTCCCCTTCGGGCCCGCAGGCCTGGCCGCCGCCGGAGCGCGCCGGACGCGGAGGAAAGGCAAGGCCGGAGCCCTCCGCTCCCTCCCCCGGGACACTTCCTGCTCCGCTCTAGGACCGGGGAGGTCTCCGCATCTCAGTGGTTCGCTCCCCGCCCCCCGGCCGAGGTGTGCGCGGGGGGGTGACATCCGACACCCCCGGCCCGCCCCGCCCCGCCCCTCGCGCGCGCCCCGGGCGGGCGGCTGGGCCAGGGGCGCGCGCCGACGGGGCGGGCCGGGGCGCGCGGGGGCCCGGGCGGGGGCGGGGGCGGGGGGCGGGGGCGCCGCGTCCCCTCGGCGGCCGCGCGGGCGCGGGACGGGCGGTGCCGGCCCCGACGCCGGGCCCGAGCGCAGCCCGGGGGCGCCCGACGCCTCGGCCCGGGGCGTCTGCACGTGCCGCCCGCGGGCTCCGCGCCAGGCCAGCCCGAGGGCCCCGAGCAGGTGGCCGAGCGCGGGAGGGAGGTGGAAGAAGTCGCCCCCGGCGCGCCTCCCCCTCCCCGGGCTCACTCCTGGCTCCCCTGGCCAGGGCCAGGCGGGCACCCACCACGGGAGTTAACGGGACCCCCCAGTGCCCGGGACTGGCGCCTCCACGCGCAGCAGAGGTGGAGGCAGGTCGCGGCTCCGGAGGTTCCCTAGCGGAGGGTCTTGGCCCGCGGCCGGCGGAAGGGAAGGACCCCAGTCTGGGTGACTGCACTGCGGGGAGGGGTTCGCCTTGCTCGCGCGTCCCCCAACCCTCCAGGAGTGGCCCCGGAGTGCACGGCCAGGTGTGACCCCCCCAATAAAAAAAAACATCCAAAGCGCCTCCTCACACACACTCCGGCAGTTCCAGGATCAAACGGGGTTGGCCCTGGGCAAGGCTAGCACCTTAACCCCAGTTCTCTCGGCCCCAGAGTTTCTTTCAAAATTGAAACTGCCAAGAATTACAAAGTTACTCTTTTCTCTGCGTGTTTGAAGTTAATTGCCTGGGAACCGGGCAGAGATCACAGCACCCAACCCCTTCTCTGCGGTGAGTCCAGGGCCAGAGGGCCAGGGGGACCCAAGGGTGGCTCGGCTCGCTAGCAGATGTGGGCTCTGGCTCCTGCTGGTGTCTGGAACTCCAGACCCCTCCTGGAGCTGGGCTCGACCCTCGTGCCCTCCAGACCCGACTGTGCCAGTGGGAGTTTGGGGCCAGCTTGCTGCACGGGGACCCCTTCCTTCTTCCAACAACACCCCCAGCCTAGCGCCACTGCCAGGCCAGCTCCAGGGGGCCCAGGGGTTGTGGGACCTGCAGGAAAGCCCCTCCCTGCCGCAACCCTTGGTGGGTCCTTCGAGCTGAAATGAGCTGCACGCGCCAGGGGCAATTCTGAACTGGGAGAAGCCTGGGGCACGCCCGCCCGGCCTGCCCTGCCCATAGTAGGGGTCCCTGCCTTTGGCTGGGGGGCGCAAGGAGCCACCCCTTCAGAAACAGTTTAGGGGCCAAGAGAGCTCAGAGGGCCAAGCACACACTCCACGCGGGGGGGGGGGGGGGGGAACAGGGGGCGGGCTTGATATTTGGCACCTCCTGGTCCTTTTTGCAGGGAGGAGGCCCTGAGCAGCACTGGGTCTGACACCCCCCCCCCCAATCAAACCCAACCAACAGACGGGCACAGAACCACAGCCAGAAGCTGTTTGCCGCGGCCAGGCCTGGACTGGGAGGCTGCTCCCAACACCAGGAGCTGCTGAGTGACCACAGGCCAGTGTCCTCCGCAGGAATGCTGAGAGCCTGAGAGCAGAGGCCAGCGGCTGGGGGGTGGCGCCCAGCTCCGACTGCCCAGTGGAGGGCCTGAGCCTGTGCTCCTGCTGTTTGTCCGTTGGGCCTTACCCAGGGAAGGGCTTCAACCCTAAAAAGCGGGAAAGACCAAGGCCTACAGGCCAGAGTTCAGGCAGCCCACTCTGCAGACCCCCCACCTGCTCTACATCCTGACCGGCCATCAGCAAATCTAAGGAAATGCTGAATCCGAACCCCTCCCCCACCGGGCGCCTGCGGCAGAGCCCACACTCAGCTCAGGAACGAGTCCCAGCAGTGGGTGGGGGTGGGGGGAAGAGCCAAGAACTCTCCAAAATTCCCGGAGCTCGTTGACCTCTGAGTTTTGTGGTGCTCGGGGGTGACCCCTGGCGGTGACCAAGGGCCCATGGGCTGAGGGCTGAACTTTCCAGCCCAAGGCGTGTGTTTAACACGCAGCACTCCTCAAGACGGCTGCTTTGGGTCTTTCTGATACACAGCAGCAGTTTATCAAAACGCGGGTGTGTGCCGCATGCTGCCATAAATAAAACGCCTCAGGCAAGATTTACAAAAGGGGTGGGCGGGGGGGAGAGACAGCTAGTCCGGGGGTGGCACCCCAGTGCAATCCCCAGAACCACTTAGGGTGCCCTGGGCCCACCAAGAGCGACGACCCCTGAGGGGCTGGAGCAATAGCACAGCGGGAGGGCATTTGCCTTGCATGTGGCCAACCTGGGCTCGATCCCCGGCATCCCATTGGGTCCCCTGAGCACCACCAGGAGTAATTCCTGAGTGCAGAGCCAGGAGTGACCCTTGTACATCGCTGGGTGTGACCCAAAAGAAAAAAAAACTGACCCCTGAGCACCAGAGCCAGGGTCTGCCCTGAGCTCCTCCTGTGCACCCCTCTCTGGCACATACATTTAGAAATGGAGCTGGTGTCTTGAGATGGGTGTGAAGCGGCGGCATCCCATCCTGTACGAGGAAGGTCTGCAAAGGCGTGGACAGACTTCCAGCTGGGAGGAGGGTGGACATGGCCGTCAGCCCAGGGGAACCGGGTCCGTCCAGGAAAAGCGCTTGCCCCAGGAGCCGGTGGCGCTGAAGGGTGCTGCCGCCCTTCACTTCAGTGCCGCCTCTCCGGCAGGGCCTGAGTGAAGCAAAGTGGCCCAGCTCCCAGGAGCGGGGACTCACGCGACAGATGCTGGCCTGACCACTGCCAAGGTAATCTCTGGACAGACCTCTCCGTCCCGGCAGCTGTTCTGTTTCTGGGCCCTGCACGCTAAGGGAGTCTGGAGCTCAGAGTGGCCCGCATGTCCGAGTGCCACCCGGCTCACGCAGAAGCCTCCCGGGACCCACTGCGGACAGCCCACAGGAGCGCCCTTCCCCTTCTTCTACCGGGAAGGCAAAGGCTTTACTGTACTTCTCGCTTCCTAAATAAACCTCTGACTTACCCTGACTCACTACACAGAGTCCCGGAACACGGCTAGGCCTGGAACGAGGCCTGAACACGCCGGGCAGTGGTGGGAGGGTCTGAGAGATGACTGGGAGAGACAGCATGTGCCCGGGCCTGGGTGGCACTGGATTCTAGGTATAGCCCTCGCAGGGACTGTGGGCGGGTGAGGCCCAGAAGCACCCTGCAGTGTAAGATTTTAACAAAATTAACATATTTTTGTTAACGAATGGCGTTAATAGTTCAAATGACCTCTAGCTGGGTGTTGCTGACAGCAGATTGGCAAAGTTCACCAGATAAAGAGCCCGCAGCAATCCGGGAGAACAAAGCCCCCCTCTCCCCCACCAGCCCACCTTCATCTCCACAGTCATCCTCTCTCTGGGTTCACCTCCAAGTCCTGGGAAGGGGCCCCAGTGGAAGGCACTTTTTCTTGGCCGAGTCCTGGCTCTGCTGGCTGCGCAGTGGGCTCTGCCCCATCCTCCCTGAGCACTGCACCAGGTTAGCCCGGGCACCACTGAGTGAGGCATCCAAATAAATATCCATAGAAAAGGGCCTGCAGCACGGGACCTGAGGGACGGGAATGCTGGTGAAGGGCTGGTGTTGGGGCTCAGTTATGAACGGCTTTGTAATTCGTGATGATTTGATGGAGTTTTAAAAAATCAAGCAAGACAATCACTTACAAACATGTCATTTATCTTGAGACACTCAGAACTCCGGGCGGCCAGGTGTGTCCAACTGGCCTCACCTTTGAGCTTAAGCGGCCAGTGGGTGAGTTTGGAGTCTGGAAGGCGACCCTTGGACCCCTCGGGAGACCCTGGGGGCTCCCGGCCCCGGAATGCTGTGACACAGAGGAGAGAGCCCTCCCTGTGCTCCAGGCAGTTCTTAAGTATGCTCTCAGTCTGAAAGCGACAGGACTCCCTCTCCTGCCCTGCCCTGGGGATAAGCGGCCCATCACCAGGGTCCGGGAAAAATGTGCACTGGAGG